GTAAAGCCAAAAAATAAAACAAATAATAAAAAATCAAATTGCAGAAACATTAAGTATCTAGTTCTTTAACATAAATGTACTTGTACTGCCATACATGACTGCAATATTTTACAAGTTGGATCGGTTCAGAGTTTAGCCTAGTTCATATCAAAATTGTGTATTCTGCTAAGAAATTGAACACGTTCTCTCTGACCTTAGAATTACTAAGTGGGCAGAGAGCAGAAGGCCCATCCATCCAGAGGGTGTAATTTGGCAAAAGTAACAACACTTCATTTTACAAACCCACCCCACCAATCACACAGCTTCAGATGCTGGTCAGAATCAGACAAGATAGCATTGGGGATGATGTTGATGATGATGCCTTTTGGCTTGTTGTACATTGCTAGTTTCTGGTTCAGTCTGTCAATTCGATCCTTCTTTTAAGGATTGCTAGGTGATTAACTCTCTTAACTATTATTCCTTTCCGTAGGTTTCTTTGTATCCCAGGTTATATCTCCATTGAGCGGTTGATTCGCATTCGTAGATAATATGGGTAGCTGTTTCTTCCTCCTCATTGCATAACTTAAAATTGGGGTCATCATTGAATGTAACCATGTTATGTAGATGTTTTCACAGATGCCAGTGACAAGTGTCCTATCACTTCTCTGAGTTTTTTAGCCTTCTCTAACTTTAGCAGTGAGTTTGCCAGTCTTGGTGAGTGTTATTTTAACATACGCTTACTGTGTCTAGCACCCTTTTTGTACGTTATGCAATGAGGAGGAAGAAACAGCAACCCATACCATCTTCGAATGCAAAGCAACGCTCAATGGAGATATAACCTGGGATACAAACAAACCTACGGAAAGGAATTGCAGAAATCGTCACTTAGGACTAAGGAACTAAGAAAGTACAATAAGCCAGAAGGCTGCTGTGTTTGGGGAACATAACCTCCCCAGTTCCTAGCCTCCTATCATGCCAGCCTCAGGGTACATCAATAAGTCCGTGGATGAATCTAAAAACAACATAACTAGGAATTTAGGAGAGGCCAATAAGCTTTTTGATTAAATATTTCAAAAATTTCTTAACTATTTCATACTGCTGATATCCCCAAACTTTGTCCAAATTTCATCTTTACTATAGACGACACCTGCTACACACGATATTGGAAAAAGAAAGAGAAAGAGAAAAAGAGAGAGGGCGAGAGAGAGTGAGTGAGAGAGACGAGGTCTGACAATTACCCCACATTTGGCGGGATTAACTGTCAAATTCCATTTCTCTCAATAACTTTATAATACTTTTTATGTTCTCAGTAAACTTACTCGATTGTCAGCTCCGAGCAACACATCATCAGCGTATAATAAAGTTTTAACTTCAGTGTAGCAAAAATTTCAATAAGCCAGAAGGCAGCAGTGTTTGGGGAACATGAACCTCCACTTCCTTTCATGTTAAGTGTTGCAAATTCGAACACCGCTTTCAAGTTACATTTGGGAGGTCATCCATGAAGAGGGAGAAAAGGGCGGGACTTAAAGTGCATCCCTGGCAAACCCACAAGTCATGGGGGAACCGAATAAACAGATGTGAGAAATGTAACAATTTTTTTTTAATTTTCCATGGTATTAATTTGAATTTGTGGAAACAGACAGTTCAGAACTTGTAGGCGAAAAATGCCCGACTGGAACATACTTTCTGAAAGTAAATCACAATGAAATATAAGTTTTATAGATGTATTGTTCTTTTCAAAACAATTTTTCAACCGCTGAGAATTCTCAAACCTCGATCAAATATAATAGAGTAAAAATCTGTCGATTTTAAGTGATCTACGTGTAAGGCCAGTTTTGAATGTATATCTTTATGAAAGGTATATTTGTTTAAAACAGTTTATCATTAACAGTTTATAGACCTACCAAATGCCTGAGCAAACCCAGGTAAATTTTCGAAATTTAACGACAATGTGCCTGCAAATTAAGACACACTAATTTGAATACAATTTTTCCTTTTCAAATCTACATAAAAGATCGAATGTTGCAGATCAGTTTGTTAACCTTTCTCAACTGTTTCATAAAATAAGTTTGAATAAATAATGTTGAGAAATGCAACAAATTGTATACCTTCCTAAAAATAATTGAATGCAGACATACTACAAAATAATCGTATACATGAAGCAAAATTTTAATCTAAACAAGACAAACCAGTTCTTCAAAACAGGCTTAAATGGTTACAAATGATACAGACATTTTTCCTACTCAAGGTAATGACAGTAAGGATGGAGGTGAACCACCTAAAAAAGTTTAAATCGAGAAAGAAATTGGAGATTATAATCATTCTTAAGCACAAACCACATTTAGACTTTTTTTATACTAAGTACTCATATTCAACATTCTAGATTTGAACAGAAAAACTTGTATATAAACAAATATTTAACCTTAGAAGTGAACTTTTTTTTGTAGCAAAAGTTGGATTTTTACCTAAACCACTTATAAGACAGATTAATCTTGCACGGAGAATTCCTTCAAATCCTTCTTTTTGCTTAATCTACATTCTTTTTTTTTAATATTTACTTTTTAATTTTTGGCTCTTTTTGTCCTACACATGTATTTCCTTGGTAAATATAAAAGTTTTTGACGAAATGTCACTTCTCCAACATTCAACAAGTTTGTTTTAGAAAGAAACAAAATAGCTGTTTACTAACTTACAATTCATGTTTATAGAACTCCGTAATAATTATATGTATAGAGCTAAAAGGTAAAAAAAAAAATTATTAAAAAAATGTAGATTAAGTAAAAAGTAGGATTTGAAGTAATTCTCCTTGCAAGAATGAATGTAAATCAACATGTGTGAATTAGCAAACAACTTTTTTTGTTCTTTTCAAATTCTATTAGTTAAATGTTGGAGAAATGACATTTCTTAACTTTTTAACTTTTTTTGTAGCAAGTATTTATATTCAACAAGCTAAATTTGAATAGAAAAACTTGTATATAAACTTATATTTAAACATAAATCTATCTTATAAATGAACTTTTTTTCCATAAGCCACAACTAAGACTTGCCAAGCTTTCAGATTATTATAAAATCATCATGTGGGACTAAACATTAAAAACAATACATTAACGGATTTCGGTTTAATACTACAATTATTTGTATAATATTATTAACTAAAACTTACAAACACCTATGTTATTTTATTATTAAGGGGACAATATAGGTGTTTGTAAGTGTTAGTTGTATTTTGATTTTTCTAGAACACATAAGAAAACAAAAGTTGGATTTTTACCTAATATAAGACAGGTTAATCTTGCGTGGAGAATTACTTCAAATCCTTCTTTTTGCTTAATCTACATGCTTTTTTCTAATATTTACTTTTTACCTTTTGTCTCTTTTTGTCCTACACATTTATTTCCTTGGTAAATATAAAAGTTTTTGACGAAATGTCACTTCTCCAACATTCAACAAGATTGTTTTAGAAAGAAACAAAATAGTTGTTTACTAACTTACGGTTCATGTTTATAGAACTCCATAATAAACTTGTTACGCGACTCTATACGTATAGAGTGAAAAGGTAAAAAAATATTTAAAAAATGTAGATTAAGTAAAAAGTAGGATTTGAAGTAATTCTTGCAAGAGTGAATTAATCAACATGATCTGTAAATTAGTAAACAACCTTTTTTGTTCCTTTTCAAATTCTACTTGTTAAATGTTGGAGAAATGACATTTTTTAACTTTTGAACTTTTTTTGTACCAAATACTCATATTCAACATGCCAAGTTGGTAAACAACTTTGTTTTCTTTTCATCAAATTGAACTTGTTGACAGTTTAGTTCCTGCTTTAAATCATCATGAAACGTAAGTTTATGTACTTGTTATTTATTGTCAAATTCAACTTGTTTTGCAAGGACAAAATGTTTCTCAACCTGGTAGAATAAATACGAAAACAAATTTCAATGTTAAGAAATTTAACTAATTTTATATTATCCGAAGAAATAATTGGAAGTATTGAGGAAAATGGTAAAAAATGAAAATAAAACATGTAGATTATAGAGATTATACAAGCAAGACTGGATGTAAATCAACATGATTTGTAAGTTAGTAAACGTCTTTTTTTATTTCTTTTCAAATTGAACTTTTTGAATGTCTTAGGATTGATGTTTGTTAACTAAACACAATCTTTGACGAAGAACGTCTGACAAATCGCCAAAATTGGAGGAAAAAGGTAAAACCGGGTTAAATTGGGTGGAAAATCCGACGAGATTACATAAGAAAAACTTTTTTTTTAATAATAATTCCACCCAATGGGCGTGAACTGTTTGGAACCGTGTTACTCCGATTACGTCCTCCGAGGGCACAGTGATAAAAAGTCGAATAAAAAAAAACAATAAAAAATACGGTAAACAAGTCGAAAAATGGATTGTTTCCAATACTTATACGCGCAGAGAAGCAAGGGAAAGAAAAATCGGAGTAAAAATTAAAAAAGAGAGGAGAGAAAAATAAAATATATTCGAAGGTATCAGTGTGTATGAAGAACGCACTTCTTATCCATTACCGAGCATCAATCGTTTTCTCAGTTCCTGCCAGCGAATTTTACCACAAAATATTATTGTGTGAGTGTATGTGTGTGTGTGTGTGTATGTGAAAATATAAAGAAAAGACCAAAAAAAAAAAAAAAACGAAAAAATTTGGTTTTTTAAATGAAATAAATTCAGAGACGCACCCTCGGCTTGAGTTCCGCTGTTACAGGTTGCACGGTGGAAACAAAATTCAAAGAACAAGAAGGAAAAAGAATAAAATCTGAAGAAGAAGAAGAAGATTTAGAAAGAAAAAATATACGCATTATCCTAAAAACTGAATTTTGTGGGAATTGAGATGTGACGGCGAGGAGTCGAGTATGAAATAAACAAAAAACGGTCGGATAAAACCTTCGTCGTTTGAAGGTTAGTTCAAACAAAATACTTGGCCGAATATATCCAAAACACTTCGTTTATCCAATAGTGATTGAATCAAAATGAACCAATTTAGTGGGTTTTTACCTTTTTTTGATCCTCTTCTCGGCCAATGTTTATCCTCAGAATAGGTGACCTTATCTCGAATCTATTATCCTGGTAATTTCGAGTGGAAAATCACAATAATAAAAGATTCGCCTTCCTGCGTCGCGTCAAATGTTCAAGCGCATTTTTTCGTGTCCGACCGACGTCCGTCCATCCGTTGGAGGCGTAAAACGGTTAAAAACATTTCTCAATTTTTCACTCCAAAGTATGGCGCTCCGGTATATTAAACACACTGTGTAAAATGTTCACTCGAGAAAGAGAGATAAAGATGATGTCATAATGACATCATTGATCGCCAACATTCATGGCTGTTGTAGCTAGCTAAAGGATATCTATGACCTTGATAACAATTCCTCCCTTTTTTTTTCTCACTCGCACTCTTTCTTTCTCGATCTATCTCTCTCTCTCTTTCTTTTTCTCGTTTCGGCACACGTTCGCTCTCTGCCACACCGACTGAAAACCACCTGTACGCACGGCGTTTTGTTTTTTTTTCCCCACCGGGGGATTTTCTCGTCCCCCTTCGGAGAGACGTCTCGACCGACGTGCGAAACGGTACGATCTTTTGATAAAAGTCCTGGAAACGATTCAATTCCAAATCATAACGAACTCGAGTGCAAAACAACAACAAATATCCGAGCCTTAAACTGTAAAACCTCACTGTCACGAATCGAAAATTAACCGCCAGAGATGTCCGTTTTGAAACTTCTTCCATCGTACAGATGAAACCCGGCTTTTCAAAAAAATAAAAATTAAAAAACTTTCCTTACCTCTTTTACATCAACGAACGGACGATCGTGTTTACAGCGTATTTTCCATTAATAGATATTTTTTCTCCCGGAATTTCCTTGAGTTTCGGAAGGTTAAATTATCTTTTAAGATTGGGAAGTCTGCTCGCTGGTTATAAGCGTGTTAGTTCTTTCCACTTGACCATTAACATCCTCAAACCTGGTTTTTATCCGATTTGGGATCTTTGCCATACGAAAACAATAAAAGTGTCAAGAAAGGCTTTACGTTACAATAATACCAAAAGCAGGCAAGATATTTATATTTTCAGCACATTTAAACATTCTTCAGGTCCTCTTTGCAGACCTAGGAACATTTGTTTCTGTCTTTTGAACATTTTTCCTTGTTATAATTATTTAATTATTTTCAAATGATTCTGTTCTTCCCACGGATAGTTGGTCTTCCCCGTCCAACAATGAAGTGTCATGGTTCTCTTGATTGATTGCCTATCATTGCTGATTTTATCAGTCATATGCGTTTCAGCATTTCGCCATCTTTAGTGTCTAGTTTGGGTGATTGTCCCTGCGCATCTGACTGAAAAATCAGCGAGGATAGACAGAAAAGATGATAGGAACTATTGAGCAATAGGTTTATCACCCACAGACTGCAGGAGAAAATCTCACAAAGAATTAGAATTATAGAATTTTACTTCTCAAAAACTCACATGTTCTGAATTGACCCTCTCACTTCCCAGAGTCCACCGGCAATTCCAGCTTTTGTATAATTTATACTAAATTACCGATAGGCACCAACAATCACCAACCCAGGGTGTTGGCAGTCTGTGTTATCTGTCCAGTCTCAATGTTGGGCTCCGGGGGCTTTCAACAGTTAGGTCATTTCAGCCCCCAATCAGTCTTTTAATCCAAACCAAAGCTATCAGTACTATACAATAAAGGAACTTGGTTGCCTCCAAGAATTGGAATAGGAACCCAGATATCCGCTGCCGTACTCAAGCACAATTCTCATATCTGGCATTCTTACATGCTTTCTTTATGGAGCCAAGGAATGGCACCCTTCTATTAAGTGGAAAACATCAAGCAACCTTTCTATACATGCCAGACACATACGCGCCCAACAGTAAGTCTCCATGTGTTTACCTCAACAACAGTGCTTTTCTGCTCATCCGGCCCACTGACATTGTCGCTTTCTTTTAATCATACTTTTTATTCTAGTTTTAGCGTCAGGGGGCCAGATCGTAAGCAATGGTTAAATTTTAAAGTTAGAATGCCTCAGCCTGAGCCGCTTCGTCCCCGTTTCATTACCATCGAGACTTATGCATACAAGCTCCAGTTCATGGTACCTCTCCAACAACAGTGTAAACGAATGACCTGTCATGGGTAAAAGGTATCTAAGATAAGAATAACTTGTTTTAATATACGTAAGAAACAACAACAGGCAGAAACAGTCATTAAAAGAAAGTGGCACCGTCGTTGGGCCGGTTCAGCAGAGAAGTATCAAGAGCACTGTTGATATTTATCATCCTCACTAAACTAAGAATAGACATGTGTGGTAGGACACTTACAGGCCAAAGGACGCATGCCCGGCATGTGGAGAAAAGATTGCTCAATGTCTCCCACTTAATAGATGGATGCCATTCCTTGGCTCCATAAAGAAAGCATGTAGGAATGCCAGATATGAGAATTGTGCTTGAATATTGCAATGGGTATCTGGGCCCCCGTTCCAATTCCTAGAGGAAATAGGGTTGTTTTATTGTGTACAGTACTTATAATTTTGGGCCTCCTAGTGTATGCATTGATTACAATGAACATATTGTGTGAGAGGGTTGATGGCGGAATATTGAGTACTCCATCAACCCTCAATTAAGTTAGTTATAAAATATGTGTAAAGGGTGATGGAGGATGAATAGAGTACCCCATCCCCCTGAGTGAATGGTATGTAAATAGGAAAAATTGTGTTTAAGAATGTGATTGGGTTTGGATTTAAAGATTGATTGCATTGGGGGCTGAACTGACCTAGCTGTTAAAAGCCCCTGGACCCGAACATCGGTGGCTGGACAGATAACACTGAGGTCTGACCCACCCTGGGTGGGTGATTCTTGATGCCTTCCGGTACTTTGTAGTAAATTATGCAAAAGCTGGAATTGCCGGTGAACTCCGAGTAGTAATAGGCTCAAATCTGAAATGAAATTTTATAACTCTAGTTGCTTTGTGAAGTTTTCATTGTGGTCTGTGCGGTGAAGAGCCTATAGTTTGATAGTTACCTATCATCTTGGTCTACCTACTCTAGCTGATTTTGTCAGGAATACGTGCAGTGTTAATCACCCAAACTCAACACCAAAGATGGCTGATTTAAGTCCTTGATGTTGATGGAAATATAGGAAATAGGGGTTTTATGTCCTCCAACCTCACAGCCTTCGGGCTTATTGTAATTTTCCTAGTTCCTTAGTTCACCTGACTGGATCCTTCTCTTAATAAGTATGAGGTTAATGACTGTGTTGCTACAATTCCTTTCCCTGTGTTTTCTTTGTATCCTAGGTTGATTCCCATTCGAAGATAATGTGGGTAGCAGTATCAGGGAAGTTTGAGGCAGAGGCAGAATAGGTTCTACTCAAAGTAGATGCAACCAAAATCAATCACTGACTGGTGTGTAGCTCCCTTGCTCAGGAGGGCCACTGATAAGCCGGGCCCACAATGTAAATTTTTATTTATTTTTTATTTAACATTGATTGTGTTAGGAGGTTCAGAGAAAAGAATTTATACAAAATGCATTCAAAATCTTGACCATAAGTTTTAAAAGGAAAATACATAAACGGTTAGTCCAAAATCCATGTACAGCTTAGCCAAGTTTATTTTATTTACATGTAAATACAATCTAATCTAGTGAAATATAAGGTGATATGAGAATGTATGTACCTGAAATATGTAATAATATAAATAAATTTGGAAGTAATGTAAAATGAACTGGCGTAAAACCTTTATAATAATAATAAATGGCTTTATTAAACCAAAATTAAAACTTTTTTCGTTAAATTAAAGAACAAAAGCATTATGCACATGGATCGTCCGACCAGTCTGCCAGAGGTCATTGGTTTACAAAGTTAGTTCTATATAGTAGTAGTAGAAGAAACTAGAACTCACACAGAAACGCGACTCATCAAAAACATAACAGCGTTCCAATTGTTGTTCTCTTCTAGGTGCTCGCTGCACCATATTCTCCTGAGTTGCTGGTGGTAGGCTGTTTCTGAAGGTCGTCTCAAAGAGTTGATAAAGGCATTGCCAAAACTTCTTATACTTCATTTAGGATATTTAGTATTTAGGATAGTTACTATGGAAAAGGTTCCATCTTGCAGAATGACAATATTTCTGGTCTTATGTTCCTCCGAAAGCCCAGGAGACCACGCTCTGAGAAACGCCAACTGCTTCTGCGATATTCACTTGCCGGTGGCCTCAAAGGCTCATTCTCACAATAATATTGCAAACTTCTGGTTTAAGATGATGTCTTTCCATCGTTAAAGAGAGTACAACTGGATTAAAATGAAGAAAATACGAGAAAAAGGTGTTTGTTTACAAAATGAGCACTCTGTTTGCTATTCTTAGTAAATCCATTATTAAAAATGAGGATTAACAAATTTTTTGTTTTTTGTTTGTATTTTCTATCTTGTTTTATCCAACTGATAAGAATATATCGGTTAATTTAATTAAAATTAATAGAATAAGAATAAATTACAAATATCCCTATACATTTGTGAACAATCTATTAATATTTAAATAACTGTACAATTCACACGAATTCCACATTCAAGAATCTGGGGAAGATCATCTAAAACCAGTACAAATAATAAAGAGGTTAGCACACAACTTTCTCATACACCGGACTGTATCCTAAAAAACTTTCTTCTGGCCATACATACAAGAAGAAGCTGCCAAAAACATAGAGTTGAGGATATTCACAACTTTAAAAGAGAAACCCAAATTGCTAGTTTTAAAATTAAGCTTCTATGATCAACGCTATCAAAAGCAGTCATTAAATCAACAAAAAAAAGTAAAGTTTTCCAATTCTCAGACCTATTAAATTCAACAAAATTATGGAACCTTTTCTATACTCCATTTGGTTTTCACTTAGTAAACCATTAACGCCAACAAAGGCCTCCAACCTGTTAAGTAGTAAATGAGAAAAAATCTTAGCTACACTATCAAGGCAAGAAATACCTCTGTGGTTAAAAAGAGTGGTTCGGTCTCCATGCTTAAACAGAAGGACGATAATCGATTCACCTAATATGAAACCTTTATGTTTGCCTTCAATAAAAGTTGATTGATTGAATAAAATAATTTATTTCTTAAGGTAGTTCCATGAAAAAAATATCCATAAGATATAAATATAATCTATTCTTGTTTTTTGTTTTTTAGTACTATATGGCAATGTCTGAGAAATTTACCAAATTCAGAACAATGATGAATTCCATGTGGGGCATCACATTTGCTGTCATCACCGGAACTGTTGCCTTACAAGTAACCTGGCGGTACTTCAAACCAATAAGAGATCGAAATAGGCTTCGTGAAAATGAACAATTGTCTGAGTTCTTGTTTCAGCAAGAATTAGCTCATGGAAGACGACAAACGTCACAATTAGATGCAGATGCCTAATTGCCTGAGATTCCTAAAAATAAATAAATAAAATAAATAAAAAGGTAACATTTGTTACAACTGATTGTAGTCGTATTTTTGTAAAGATATTGCAATATTTAAGTTGTTCTATATGTAATTACAGTGTTTTTGTTTTTCTTTTGTATATTGATTTAAATTAATACCAGCCAATTATTCAAATACTCTTTTTCCCCCAACCTTTTAGCATAGGTGAACATTGTTTTTGAACTTTTAATATTAAATTGTTTGATTGGTGGAATATTGGTACAGAGGAGACCGCTTTGTTTAACCAACAATTTTCCTTTCTATAATCCCCACAATTTTCACAACTTCCAACAACACTAAATTATGAGCTGAGGGACTGACTTACAGATTAACCATCTCATCAACGAGCAATTCAGAGCGGATAATTATGAAAAATTTCCAAATCACCTAAAGTAAATAAATACCAGAAAGCAGGACATCAGCAATTGATCCCAAGGGGGACAACTGTATTTTCAGTCAAGGTTTCTCTTAGTGCCTGAGGTCCCCTGGTTTCACGGGTATAGGGCTTCACAGCATTTTTAATCAGTTAGGCCCCTTAACTTGAAATTCCTCATCTCCTTGGGAGGAGTAATGTGTATGGCGTTCTGTACAAATTCCTCAGGAAATCTGAGCCTTCTATGGTATGTTGGGAGTGGTCAGTAGTTGAGGGAGAGTGTCAGCAGGGACTAGATGGATGCAAGGTGTGTTAGCCTCTCCTGACGTCAGTATGTGTATACTTCTCCATATTAGATGTGAATGTGTTTTTACGGTTTTTACCCGAGTCCTCTAGTGGGAAGACAGCCAATTTAAAATTTAAAACAAGTAAAAATTCTGTAAAGAGTGCTTACCTCCTCCTTGTTATCTCTCTCTCTCTCTCTCTCTCTCTCTCTCTCTCTCTCTCTCTCTCTCTCCCCCTCTCACTCTCTCTGCATCGGTCAGAGGCACCAGGCTGGTGGCCTGCCTCTAGCCTAGCCCTGAGCTTTTGGTCTTGCACGAACTTAGACCAGCGTAGCAGTATTACATCACTACTGAGCACATGGATAATGGGAAAACCAAATTAAAAAAAAAAAAATTAAATACCACAAGCAGCATCTACTTCCAACTCTTTGCAGCTCATTCATGGCTGAAGAAATGGTTTTTTTAAAAGCATTATAACATTCCTTACCAGAGCCCAAGTTTACAGTTTTTATATAAACAATACATATGAATTTTATTAGTTGAGATCATTGAAAAAATTTATATAAAAATATACAATAAGTAAAAAATCAGACACATATTTTTATAAATAAAGACTGACTACATGATCCCAAAAACACCCTTTACAACAATCCTTTTGTTGAAGGTAGTTCCTTTTCACTGTGAGTAGGAACTATCTTTTTAAAAGGATTGAACACCGCACTCACTCCACCATTCATCATTTCTATCCCTGTACGTCCTAAAATTAAATACAATATGGTATACATGACTCCAAAACGCATTTTTTTTTTTTTTTTTTTAAAAGCCCAAAATATGAAAAATCAAACCTATTAGGGATGTACGTGTCTGCATGTCTGTCTTTCAAGCTGAAATACTTGCCATCAACACTTTTGCCTTGAAAAAAGTCACAATGACAAAAAAATTGGATAGCCAATTTTCATTTAAGCATTTCCATGTGAAAAATCACATCAAAATTAATCAGCGAGTCCAAAATCTGAGGAAACAACATGATACCTTGGGTGCCAGGATCAAAGGAATTTTAGGTAACGAAAAGGCAGACAAACTGGCCAGAGGAGGATCTGCAAGACCATAATAGGCCCTGAACCTGTGGAATCAAAAAACAAACTGAATCCTCCATCACATAATGGTTCCAAAAAAAGACAAAAGGAGAAGTGGATAAACTATACAGGTGTTAAGACACAGTAAGCTTATGTTAAAACAACCTTCACTAATAATGGCAAACTCACTGCTACAGTTAGAGAAAACAACTCAGAGGAGTGATAGTAGGACTACCCGTCAAGTATCTGAGAAAACCTAGCAATTAACATGTGGATACTCAATGATGACCCCATTTGTAGGACATTCAATGAGGAGGAAGCCATCATGTCATCTTCGAACATGAAGCAACTGCCCAGGGAAAGAAATTGTTGCAACGACAGTAGAAGAGAAAAATCAAGTCATTTGAACAGAAATAAGTTACTATGAAAAGTGCAATAAGCTAGAAGGATGCAATGCTCGGGAGCATGAAAACCCCGACTTCCTAATATCTATCATCAATGAACCCTATAGGAATTCTAAAAACCTGGGACAACATCATAAATTAATTAATTATTCTTTCTAAGGTCTTAGTCGAGATAAAGTCAGTGTCACGAGCGGGTTTCGAATCCACGACCTTCGGCTAAATACGCTGCTACTTCTACCACTTGAGCTATCGTGACTTCAATCCACTCGGACACCACTCTCCATCTCAACCTATAACCGTTCGAATTTTCCCTCTTTTTGCCATTTTCAAATGTCGTGTAATCGGATTGGATTCTCAGCGACTTATGAAGTGGCCACGGAGATTTTATCTCAACCAAGACCTTACAAAGAATAATTAATTGATGGAAAGAAGACTACAAAGAAGAATTGACTACAATATTTAAAAAAAAAGTAAAAATATCACTTCACGAAACAGCTCCCTGTGTAGTCAATTGACTACGAAAATGTAAATGGATCATAAATTAATCTAAAATAAAAGGTATGACAGTGGCAAAATATGCATGATGTGGTTGAAGTTGGCAAATATTGTTCTTTATTCTTGATTCAGAAGAAAAATTATTTTTCAACCCAGAAGAGGCCTTAAGTGAGCATTTTTTGACAAAGGCCACTACTTTTGTAAGGCTGCATGGAAGCATATTCATAGATTTTGTAAAAATTGTAATTTAAGCATTCCCTAGTATATTTCCTGGTTCAGTACATTTATTTATTGGTTATGTATTTATATATTTAGCTATCATGTGAAGACTATTTTTTGTACAGTTAATTAGTTATAATTTTATAAAGATTACTGTATTGAATAACTAGAATGAGGAAATGTAAAAGTTGCAGCAACACATTTTGTGACTTCTTTGTATGCTCAAGAATTCCCTTTAAAGAAAAGTTTACGAAATGCAAAATGGTGAAGCTATAGTTCTGTCACAGGGAAGAAAGCCGTGTGGTCACTATTTTGCCTCAGTGTAAATTTATGTTGAATGCATCAATGAATAATAAAATACATTACATGGGGTTTTTTTTTCTGCTTTTTAAAAATACACTTTAGATAATCCATCATCAAGTAAATATTACATTCATAATTACTTTCCGTCAATATATTACATTAATTCCTACAATATCACCAAATAGTTGATCGTCTTGTTGAAAATATAGATTCTGAATGTGTTGTCGAATGGAAGAAAGGAAAAACGTATCGTTCCACTTCGGCATCAAGCGGAGTCGACAGAAATATGCAACTTAAGGCAACAGTGATGAAATTTCTTTATTGCGCATTTAAACATTTATGTATTTTTAATTTAAAAGGCCCACCAAAATTTACAACCAACGAGGAAGCAGCTGGATGTACAAATGCTTGGTAGCATCGGTTGAACAAAGTTACTTTCAGGCCGATGTATAAAGAACTAAATCTAACATTTTCCGTAGGGAAAAAAAAAAAAATACAAATTGTTCAGTCCAATGCACATATCAATTAAAAAGCACATGTAAAACAGGCCAAAAAAAAGTAATATTGTTCTTAGTAAAATAAATTAATGTAAATTCCATATAATTTTTAATTTATTCCTTTAAAGTACAATTTAAGATATAAAAACAGTAAAAAATTATAAAGAATATTGATTTTACTTATGAGCAAACGTTAAAATGAGCAATTTTTTTTAAATTTAAATAAATGTGTTTATTCCTAAATGAGATTCAGAATTAACAAAACTCTTAATACACAACGAAGTTGTGAAAAATTAAAAAAAACTACCTTTTTTTCTAATATTTGGCCAATAGAAATGATTTCTAACAACCATTAATAATTTGATTTGAATAATTTTTAAATTGAACTTAATTTAATAAAAACAACAGTATTGTTAAATTTTTTTGTGAGAAAGTTTGTGCTTGATAATACATTAAAAAAACATCACTTGAAGCACATTCAACACGAGAATTATTTAGCTTATTACTAATATAGCACAATATACAATTGCAACTATGATACCGGTTTAAAAAGACAAAGCTAAAATGAGGAGTTAAATTGTGAATTTAATTTAGCATAAAAATTGTGTTAAAAATACTGTCATGAGATTGCCGACAAAATAAGGAAAACTTGGTTGTTGCAAAAATAATTTCCAAGTGTTCATATTTTCAGGATTATAACTTACTTATATACAAATATTTTATCACAATTACAAGATGGACCACCTCTCTTCTTGACACAAGGAATTGTTTACTTCTTATTTTAAAAAAATAACTCTAATTAGAACAACCACCTTAAAATAGACCACAATCTTTCAGATTGTTTTTGATTATTACATCTGTAACGGCGTCAAATACAAATTGAATATTATTAGTGTCTGTCGCACATGTAAAGTGTGTATATATTTCTTTTTGGTCTTTCCTCTTGTTTAAATTTTCAAATTTCATTTGTATATAAGCAGCGGCTTCTTCGTACGTATTTGAACCTGGAAAATATTTAAATATTAAAAACTCCGATATGAAAAAAGGATTAAAAAATACAAATCGCATACCTGTATACTCAGGAAAGCATATTGTCAATGGACTTTTGGTAATTTTTTCTTCGAATAGATCCTTCTTGTTGAGGAACAAAATTATTGATGTCTCAACAAACCACTTACTGTTACAAATGGAGTCGAACAACTTCATGGACTCGATCATCCTGTTCATTTCTTCATCTTCAGCCAAAACTAAATCATAGCCTGGAAACCGATTACAACTTCAGTTAGAAAAAAAAATGTAATGTATTCATCAAAAATGTATTGAATTAATTAATTCAACGAAAATGTAAAGAATGCCAAAATTACTGTACAAATTCTGCTACAATATACAGTAGGATTCTGTTTATTACAATGCCGGTTTAAAAACAGAAGCTAGAAATGAAGTTTAAGTTTCTTATGCTACTCTTGTTAATCAATCAGCCTTGGATGTGATGGGTCACAGAGTGGAGATCTTCTTCGCCACGACGTTGAGTCTAGGTGTATCAATGCCTTACGCTTTAGTACCAATTTGATCGGTGCAAGGGTGCAAGTGATAAGGAGAGCAAACTAGAACTAGCCAGCTAAATTGTAGCCAATTTCTCAGAGGATCAGTTGAAGATTGTAAGAAGGCACAATGGGTGCCTCCAGGTCCTAATCATCGGTCGCTGTCGAAACTCACTACCAAGTACTGATGGTACGGTGTCTCCAGGAGGATATCATTGCCACCAGGGAGGATGGAGTTGTCTTAGACCTCACAGTAGCATATGAGACTACAAGTGCATTGGATTGGGTAGCAGACTTCAAGGTGAAAAGTATAGAGTATTGAAAGAGACCTTCACGGAGCTTCACCAAGGATTTCTTTAAAGCAGTGGGAGGAAAGAGGAAGCACACCTGAGTATACTAAGAAGACAATCAGAAAACTCGGGATCAGCTCCCGAGAATGCTCCTCACCCTTTTCCCTAACAGCACTGAGGTCCTCACTCTCCATAGCCTATAACTCATATGAACCTCGAGCACAGCTTTTTAGCCACTCGTCCAACAAATTCAGCTGTTCAGCAAAATACCTGAATGTGACAAACCTTGGCTAGGATGAAAGTAAATGAAATGGCCCTGTGGTATAGCAGGAGAATTGGAGGTGGGTGACCTTTACTAAAGGATGTGAAAACTGGCGAATGCCAGAAACAAGTTTATAATTTAAGTTAAAATCAGAAAAAAAAACCTTGTAAATTACTCAGGAAATAACAATGCTGCATGTTATGATATTCCTTCTATACCATGAAGAAACTACAACTACACTCTTAACCCATTCAGGACGGTCAGCATTATATGCTCTACTGTCTCCACTTTGATATTCAAGTTAATAGAAGCTGTATTCTATTTAGTGCTGTGTGGATGCAAGGTCTACCACTTGGAGTAAAAAGCTGCATACTGCGAAACAAAATTTTCATACAAATTTCTATGCAGAAAATGGTGTGCTTTCCTTGTCCATCGCAGTATTCGCCTGAATTTTATAATATATGGGGGAGATTATCACAGATGACTTATCTGACATTGAATTGATTGCTTTAGAATCACCCTTGTTTCTTCACCATGTTCACCAAATCAGAGAAGAGAAAATGTGAATAGTGTGAGGTACTAAATTTTTTTTAAATCACCCTCTCAATTTATGTAAGGCACTAATTTTAGGCAAGACGAGATGCCTTTCCTTTGTTCTTCTGTTGTCAAGCTTATTTAAAGTTTCTTGAAAATACAAAAGTTTTTATTCTGATTCCCCATAAGTAATTTCTTTATTCTGGGTACTCCGCTTATAACAATATAAATATATGAGCACCTTAAGCATTTATTATAAGCAAAATCTACTGTGGACACCTGTTATTATCTACTTTATGAATACAATGAGTTTCTTTCATCAAATTTTGTTATTATACAGAATTTTTTTTAAATACACTTGTAAATTTTATTATCCTTCTTTTGTGCCATTATGGCATAGGGCTTTCTTTATTAAGTCAAAATATAAATCTAAATTGTATGAATAATTTATCATATATTAATTATTAAAACAGATATAAATATGTCATGAATATGGACAAAAGTATTGTTTAAAACATTTATTTCTACACCTGCCCTTCTATTATGGCTTAATAAACAAAAACCTTTGTCACAATTTCAAAAATCGACAAAAGATTTGTAAAATTGTGGTGCAATTCATATGAATACCCTAAAGTGATCTGACATGTGGCCAATGCGTGCCAAATTACTACAATGAAGTGATGTGATATTAAGTGCAAACAGAATTTTGGTGTCTAAAGGAAAAAAATCACAAAATACTTGACAGCATTTAATAATTAATTATAATGATCTATCTGAGAAAGAAAATCTCAACCTAGATAAATCTTTTCATCAAAACAAAACTTGTAGGAAGAATCAAATTTCAAATTACAAAAAGGAACAAAGTAGGTCCCAAATTGAACAAGGAGTTTGGGTGGATGGGCTAAATTTCACCATATCAAATCCCTGGGTAAATGAATTCCGAACATAATGACCTAATTGGGTAATGAACACAAAAAATGACCTAATTGTCCAAAGATCTTTAAATGAGCATTAAGGAGATTATGTTCATATACATTTATCTCCAAGCTGGTCTGGACGTGCCTCCAATAAAAATGTAATAAAGTGACCCTAAGCTAAGAGAGACACTTGCAAATGTTGCAAAGAAGGCGTTGGATTTAGCCCAGATATGGCTTTAAGGAAAAATGCTTAAAAAATTTGTTAAAGAAAGCAATACTAACTACTAACATAGCAATATGTTCAAGGTGGCAGGTCTCATATAAGACACAACTTGTCTTCCCTCTGGGGCAATGGATCTCAGATGAGGCAATGTTCGGGCACACCATTTTCAACAGACGAAATCCTTTGCGCAAATTGCACATAAAGAGCTGATGAAAGGTATGAAAATGAAAAATTCTTTGACAGCCCAGGTTATAGCACTGGTGACAGAATAATTAGACCATGTTCCCAGTGCTTTCAAAGAACTCAATTCTTATATAGAATATATTTTATAAATAGAAATTTCAACCTTAATCCCTCAAATAATTGTCCAAGTTACTGCACTATAAGAGACAATTATAAAAGTGAAATAATAATAACCATTGAACAAAAAAACGGTTTTACAAAAACTATTATGCTTTTATCATGAAATTTTGTGTCAAATCAGATTGTTGCTGGTGGCAGTAGCGAGAATTTTATGGAAATATTGTGAGGCTTCTTTCCCAAGCCAACTTGTGAAATCTCATGGGATTTTTATAGATCTCCCCCAATGGACAAATGGTCCACCTTTGAGGATGTTCCATTCAACATCATACTATGTAATCTTGAGAGTATTGAACAGTAGGAATTTTAAAAACTTGCCTGATAAAGCTACACAAAATATAATAGCTGTGACTCCCTCGAAGCAGTGGATCCATTTTTTCCTTTCAGACCGTTGACCTCCAACGTCAAACATCCTAAAATGTGAGATAAAATGAATATGATGAATATACCATAATATTAGACAATCGAAGATAGTAGACTGTAACTTACTTAAAATGGAGACCTTTAAAGGTAAAGTGAGTTTCTATGATCCCAGTTGTCTTAACTCTAGTTCTAAGTACATCTTGTTGAGTCGGTACATAATTTGGCTGAGAAATTCGATCCAATGAATTTAAATAATAAGCAGCAGAGTCATTGAGTTGATACTCTCGAGATCTGGAGAAACAAAGTTCGACTCCAGGATCCTGCCATAGCCATTTCATCAGTTGAACGAGCTCGGGTGTAAGTTCTCCTTCTTCGGCAGCACTGGCAAGGGTGAAAAACTGTATGGCATAGTCCTGCAATGAAAACACTCACATAATACAAATTTCTCATTTGTGTTTAAACGAGACATTAGAACTTTCTTACTGCCTTAGTACAATCGGCGAAATCAATTCTAAGCTGGCCCATTGCTCGAATAATGGCCATTAAACTTTGAATTGTATTGCTGTAAACGACCGGTCTATACTGCTCGCATTCCTCTTTCGAATAACCTGTCTCATGGATGATCTTCATCTGCTTCACAATTGTGCTTTTACCAGATTCCCCCGCACCTGATCAGAAATTATTGTTTTAACAATTTTCTTAGAACATTAATGAACAAAAATTATATTTTGTGCAATGGACATTTGGTGTATTCTACAATCGGTTGGTTTCCCTTACTCTTTATAAATAGTCAATAGCTTGAGGTCTTATCAAAGTATTAACCATAGATAATTTAAATGACAAACTAATCAATTGATAATGTGAGTTAAAATGCCCTAGAAACAACATGCAATATTCCAATACTTCTTGCAGATAAATACTAGTTTATTGAAAAATGTGATTCATTTAAAACAAACAATGATAGGATGTTGATGGGTAGAAAGTAAATTGTCTTTTCTGCAAAAGGCATTTATTTTGTCAGCCACGTTTCAGTAAATATAGACCACCACTTTCAGTGTCTAAATAACATAAGTGGTACAAATTATATACTAATTATATAATAACCTCATGGATTAGGGTTGTGGTCAGAAAAACAAATAGTGCTATTGTACCAACGCCAAGATTTAGATGATATATTTTATGTTCTTTAGGGTCATCAGAGAGATCAATGTTAATTAATTTTACATTCAAATAGACATATTACAAATTCTTGACAACTTACAGGTATGCAGTCAAAATTTAAATTGTTAAATGTAGGTTGTCAAGAATCTGTGATAATTCTATATTAATGTAAACTTAATTAAGATTGTTCTCTATAGACCCTGAAGAAGATGAAACATAATGTCGAAAGCTTGGAATTAATATCATCATCATTATTACTTTTCTCTCTGAAAATACATTGATTTGATACAATTTATATATTAATATTAATACTATATTACAATTTTTGTTGGAGCAAATGAATACTAGAATTGAAAATTAATTTGAATTATGGGGGAACCAATAAATAAAAAGCTCTTGTAACCGGAGTGGGGGAGGGAATTGAAGAATCGGAAAAAATAATCGTCTCACTCCAGGGATTAAGTACATGAAAAGACACACTTTAGTTTGTATAGACCTCATGCCACATGTGATCGAACAATTGTGACACACCTTGGAACGTCCCCATCCATACATTATTCTTTATAATGAAAGGATAAGGATATGGGGCTTAATGTAATTAAAATAGGTATTAAGTGTGGGTGGAACAGGGTTGTCTATTGAACCCAATATTTTTCGTTATTTACAAATGTGCTGTTTGCATCAGATGGTTGGTCCGTTTTGATATTAAACAGAATCACGAATCATAATAAATATATCATTGTATTGCCATGAGGCATTTATTCCCACGCAAATTTTATGAGTGTGCCAGGTATGCTGGGATAAAAGAAGGGGAAAATTAAATTAAATTATCTACTTCTTGTGGTGCTATTATAAATTTATTAATATACATAAAAAAATTAATTAAATAAATAAATAATAAATAAAATTACATATACAATTAAACCTGAAAGATAATCAGATAAAAAATTAAATGAAACTTGTGGAAAGAAAAAGAAAAAAGTTAGAACCAAGATAACTTGCATGTATTCAGCCAGTTCACACAATCTATTTCGTGTGAGCAATGTTTTTGCCAAAACCACCCTCGAAGGTGGGGAAAGGGTTAAAAAGGTTGTATTGTCCGGGTAAACAGTAACAATATATTTTCAAATTATTTACAGAATGAAATACAAGCTTAATCTTAATAGTTTAAATGAGAAATAAGTAACATTAAATGCATATTTTATCAGCCAGGCTGTTGATTTAGTTTCTGCCAAAAGTAAAATAATCTGGATTAGTTGTGAGATTTCCTCCTGTAGTCTGCAATGTGATAAACCTATAGCTTTTTAGTTGCCTATTATCTTGGTCTGCCTATTCTCACTGATTTTTGTCAGTCAGATGCGCAGTGTCAATCACCAAAATTCAATTCTGAAGGATGGTGAAAATCCAAAACACATAACACTTCTCCCAATGTGATGGCAACTTCTCTATACCCTCTGAATAGAATTTTGAGTCTTTATTATTACCAATTCTGTAAACACATTTTCAATCGACTTATCATCAATCAATTTTGTTGTTGTAAAACGTTGTCCAGATATCTGAAAAAATGGTAGTCAGTACCCAAGAGGTCTGAAGAACAGGGAGAGTGAGGCAGAACTTCATAGCCAAGGATTGAGGATGAGGCAAGGCAGACATACGTAGAGCACTCAATTCTTTGTTGAGCTTTCGGTCAAATTTATTGCCTTCATCAGGACTTGGAATTGGAAATTAAGTAACAGTTGAAAACATTGTGAGGACACCCGCCCAAGGGATGTGTGCGGGGAGGTAACATATTACCAGAAATTGGCATTATTGAAGCCATCTTTGTCAATCGGAAAAGCCCAATTTTGGTACATAGCGGCGATCAGCTACCTCCCCGCACACATCCCTTGTACGGGCGTCCTCACAATATTTTCAACTGTTACTTAATTTCCAATTCGAAGTCCTGATGAAGGCAATAAATTTGACCGAAAGCTCAACAAAGAATTGAGTGTTCTACATTTGTCTACCTGGCCTCATCCCCGATCCTTTTTCAATCAACGTTAGAATTGAGAAGGCTGATCACAAAATAACTACATCTCATAACCAAGATCCAACAGTTTTCGTGTTGTCACATGCGAGTCATAGAGCTGTGACGTCATTGTGTAACAATATCTGCCTTTTCCGATTGACCAAGATTGCTTCAATAATGCCAATTTCTGGTGCATTGCTTCAATTTGAGAGCAATAAATTTTGGCATTGATTGTTTCACCAGCATTCAAGAAGCTATCAGCCCACCAAAGAATCACCATCACCTTTTTTTGATGATTTGATCCTTCCAAGACTTCTTTTGTCTTCAAGACTAAAGCCCCCCCCTCTTGAAAACGTTTTAAACCATCTCTGAATGGTGCTATCAGTCACACTGCCATCGCCGCAGACTTGTTTAATGTTTCTGGCTGTTTGGGCACTGTTCTGACTAAATTTGAACTTGCAAAAAGAAATTACGAGAAAATCATGCCTTTGCCATCTTAATAAAGACTGAATTATAACCAAGTAATGAAATGCTACTGAGGTAAACAAGCATTTTTGTTTGAAAGAGGATTAAAAAGTGTTGACATTCATATAAAAGAATAATCCATCAAACATAACCAGTTTATTATATGGAAGGATAATTTAAAGAAAACCTGCATTATTTTTCGGACAACCCTATAGATAATGATAAGTTGAAGATACAAGAACGGAAATGTACAAAAAAATAAAATAAGTGATTGGAGGGAATTTAGAAAAAATCCTACTGTACCGTCAATAGTATAATAAATTTACTGAATACAGACTTACTAATATTTTCAAAAATAAAATATAAGGCTTGAAAGTTATCTACCTACAAAATAAGAATGTATGGAACATAATACAAGGCTCAAAAGGTCAGCTTGTGTTTCACTTTCAATGTTGTAGTGAATTATTTTTTAATCAGACTCATTTAATTCATACGATTATCAACGATGGAGTAAGATTTTCCTAATTTCCACAGATCATTACAAAATCCTGTTTTTTCACTTACCGAATGGAAATTTTGTCAACCGTTATTGAATTTAAATGAAAACATTCTTGTCTGGCTGATAAGAAAAGAATTTAATGTTACTCAGTGTTATTATTAAGTATTACAATGAACCCTTTTGTTGGCTATTCTTCTTTACTCTTGAAAAACACCCAGAATCTCTACCTATGAAACTGTTGTACAAAATTGTATAAGTCAATAAGATAGGGATCAATTTTACAAACCAAAATTCATACTCAAATTGATTTTAAACCACACTCATTAAATTTATAACATTACTAATGGATTTTCTAGTGTCCACTAATTGAAATTCTTTACCAATTTTTTTTCTATTATTCTTTATAAACCTCTACTGAATTTACATTTATGTTACAATCTTTGGAAATGTTGGGACTGAGTCTATTTTCAAAGAAATTTGAAATCATCTATTAAAAGCCCAATTATGTCAATTTGTAGAATCTTTAAAATTATTTTGACCTGATGATGACCTTAAAATAGGTTGAAAGTTAGGCAGATAACAATTCAATTTGTTATTTCATCCAGATCCTGTCTATTGAATTTAAACAGAGACAATCCTGTCTGACTGGCAAGAATCACATCATTGCAGCTTAACATGATGTTTCAGAGGATTTTACAATCTTTACACATAATGTTCAATAAGCAAATAATCGAATGTTCCTAATTTCTCATGTACCCTTTGTTATTTTGCTGAAATTCTATACTCTTGTTATCCAAGCTTACACTCATCAGCGGTTGAGAATTCACTTACAAAGAATTGGAAGAACTCATCACAGAAGAGCATGAAAAAGAGGATAAAATAGAAGAAAAACAAAAATCAATGACCGACAAATTAAAAGAAGTGAAACTGTCAATCATACCATGGTTCATGGAGAGGATGTATTTAAAAAAAATTAAATNGAGAGAGAGAGAGAGAGAGAGAGAGAGAATACTGATTATTTAGAGATCGTGAGATGCGGTCCGGTGTGATGTAGGTTTAGAAAAACTTTTTTTTTTATGTGCCATCGTTTTGATCTTTATTGAGATCATCTTCAAGGAGGCCTGGGATTTATAGACATTGTTTAAATTATACAAATACATATAAGATATGACTATGAATTTATACAATGATGTACCCAGTATAAAAATTTTAGTTTTAATCGAAGTATTCATACTCACTCAAAGTGTGTGTTTCCTGTGTAAGTTTTTCTGTACACTTTGAGAATGAGAATGTGTCATTTTGTAAATTCTTTGCCAGTAGACCTATTTTCCTACTCAATTCATGTGTTTAAGAAAAAGCTGCATAAGCAAGTGTGTAATAATATGTAATGATGTACAAATGTATGTTGTGATTGGCATTGTATGCCGTAAATAAAGATTATTATTATTACATCATTGTATAATTCATAGTCACATCTTGTATGTATTTAAGCCTAAAAACTACAAGTCTAAACGAGATCCCGATCCCATTTTCCAAGGAGGCCAAATATCTAGGGATCACATTAGACCAGTGGCTCATGGAATCAACATTTAACTAACATTTAACCCAGAGAGCCAAAATTGCCTGGGGAGGTGCAGAAGGCTCTGCGTCAAAAACTGGGGATTAAACCCCAAAATGACCCAATGGGTAAACACCTGTCTCTTAAGACCAATTCTGATATACGAGTCGGTGGTGTGGTGGACTAAGACTCTTCAGGCCAAAGCAATCAGGCTATTAAGTGGCACTCAAAGACAAGCTTGTCTCAGTGTCACTGGAGCCATGAGCACAACACCAACTGCGGCCCTGTTGGTGTTGTTAAACCTCCCACCACTTCTTAGTTTAATCCAAGAAGCCAGAGCACTAGCCCACAGGCGCATAAATAAACAACCATCTGCAAGGATAAGGCATTTAAATAAGCAATGAAAATTAAGGAAGGACATACAGGCAGATGCCATATAGCATGCCTAACATGGCATTCTGCCTGTATTTCCTCGATCTATGCCACTGCTCCAAAATACAATTTTACTAAAAAGTACAAGGTAATTATTCCAGGACGGGAAGAACAGGTTAAAGGAACACCGCTAAAGGCAAACTCCTACTGGCACACTAATGGCCCCAAAACGGATTCTGGAGTCTTCAGGATGAAACCAAAGACCGAACTGATAGTAAACCTAGTAAATATGTTACAGTTTTCCAGTCTAAAATCATAGCAATTGAACATTGCAGACAGACAACACTAAAAGCCTTGGCCTCATGGAGGTGAAGCAAAGAGTGTTTAGAACTGCATGGAGGCTCTGGCGGAAGTCAGCGAAACTAATGACCTGATCCAGGCATTGGTCCCTGGGCATTCAGGGCATAGTGGCAACGAAAAGGTTGATATGTTGGCCAAAGAGGGAGCCATCACAGACTCTCTAGGTCCTGAACCCTACTGCCACAAAAGAGGATCATCTCAAAATGGATCATTAATGAGTCCAAAACCTGGTGGAACAATACCACAGGCATGAGGTATGCAAAGAGATTCATAGAAGGGCCATCTGCAAAACTTACAAAGGAATTACTGGAAGGCAACCTTAAACAAACCAGGATTCTGGTTGGACACCTGACAGGGCACCTCCACTTAAGAAAGCCCAAGCACCGGATAGGAGTACAGACAGAAGAAACACAATGCTGATACTGTCAGGAAGAGAAGTAGACCGCAGAGCATATTTTATGTTTTTGTGAAAGTCTATGTAGGTGCAGATTCTTGCAACTAGGATAGGAAAAGACACAACCAAGATCCTTCACTAAGGAGCCACTGGCAAGGCTATGGAGGTTTATTAACAACCTAAAGTTGGCCAATGAGTTATAAAAAACAAGGGAGCTACTAGGAGATCTAGTAAGAGATCGAGGTGCAGAAGTACTTGTGGCCGCCTCTTTTATCCATATCCCTATTATGTACAGTTTTCCTGTACATAATTTAAGTATGTTACCATACAGTATATTTTTCTTATTAAAAAAATGAAAATATGTATACATAAGTTCATACATAACATTGACGATAGGTACCATGATACAGAAAGTGTCTGATTGGTATGCAGATAGAAGAAAATTCAAACTTCAAAGCCTGAAATGAGGTGTTCCTATTATCCATGGTAATACTCAATCTGTATCCCCTGCAGGTAACGAGTCTGCTGTACTGAGTGAAGCAAGTTCTAAAAATAATTTGATCAAAATTATGATCGCTAAACATATTTGGCTTAATGTAATACATAAGAACATTCCTATCAGATTGATAAGGAAAGAATTTAAGATTACTCATGCCTCGTTATAAATTTTTCAGTTTAAGTACCACGTAACCAGTGTGGTTTTTCTTTTCTTATTTTTTTAATGCCTTTTTCCAAACATAGTATAATCTAATCAAGATTTTCAATATATATATTTTTTTTTTAAATAAGGTCGAACACAATTGATAGATAAGTAAATTAGGGCAAGTATCAGTCCTCTTCCTACTATAAAATCATGACGATTATATTCTTCTTTTTTTTGTTCTTTTTTATCTTTGCAGGTTAGATATTAGCCAGAGTATTCCTAGAGGGAGTTGACAGGCATCACCTGGGAACCACAGATCTAGCTACAAAGGACGAGCAGGGGAGACAAATGGGCTTACCCTTCGTACAAAAACTAACATTAATTACGTAAAACTTTTACAAAGGTTATGATAAAGACACAGACTGAAATATCATGGAACAGTCTGTCTCCCAGATCTCAGGAGTTAAACATGTCCTCTCCCCTGCCCACCCGCAGCAATCGCTTTTCTTCACGCACTTCTCTTAGTATGATGATTGTCTTACCGGAGTGGCTATACCATAAAGAGTTTACCCATCATCTTTAGGTGGTCATTAAGAGGGAAGTGGCTGGTATAGAGGACTATAATTTTCCTCGTATCTTGCCTTCTGATAGAGAGGAGTTACTTGCCTTCCTTTTTATGGATCTCTTAGCTTTTCTCATACCTGGTGTGTTTGTCCAGTGCTTGAGTTTTTCTTTCTCAGGTTATTTTCCAGCAACAACAGCACACTCTTCAGGGTGCTATAGTGGGACCTGAGCCATGGGTAAGAGGACTGCACCTTCTTTGGCTACTTGGTCGGCCTGTTTGTTTCCTTCTATACCTTCAAGCCCCGGAAACAACCTCAAGGTAAACTTGTTGGGTACTCCTAGGGCCATTTAGGCAATTTAGGCACTCCCAGAATAAGAGCTAAAAGTATAATATTTTTGGATTGTTGAAGTCAGTTGTTGTTTGTTGCTGTATTGTTTACTCAGTATCAAATATGTTTTCCATCTTGCTATGGTATGTCATCAATATATGTACATGTTTCAATGTATGTTCAATGTTGTGTTTTGCCATAATTTCCAAGAAGTATTTATCTTCTTCTGTATATAGATAAAAAAAAGGTCAAGCATTCTTCTGTATATAGATTTTAAAAAAGGTCAAGGCCATAAGCAATCATTCTTTTGGCAGCAACAATTTAAAGCTGACCCGGAAAAGTTTTACTCAAAGAGTATCAAATATGTTTTCCATCCTGATGTAGTATGTCATCAATGTATGCACATGTTTAATGTCGTGTTTTGCCATGATTTCCAGGAAGTATTTATCTTCTAATTCTGGACATAGATAAAATAAAAAGGTCGAGCATTCTTAGTCAAGGCCATGAGCAATCATTCTTTTGGCAGCAACAATTTAAAGCTGACCTGGAAAAGTTTTACTCATTATCAAATATGTTTTCCATCTTGCTATGATATGTCATCAATGTATGTACATGTTTCATGTTGAGTTTTGCCATAATTTCCAGGAAGTATTTATCTTCTAATTCTGGATATAGATTAATTTATAGATTAAAAAGGGTCGAACATTCTTAGTCATGGCCATGAGCTTTTGGCAGCACAAATTTAAACCTGACCTGGAAAAGTTTTACTCAAAGTTTCATTTTTTCTTGACCTGCTATGGAATGTCATCTATGTATGTACATGTTTAATGTTGTGTTTTGCCTTAATTTCCGGTATTTAGCTTATAATTGAGATTACATATGAAGTAGGGTTGAGCATTTCAATTTCAAATTCCGTGTATAACAGCAATGAGCGTGAGGCAGCCCTACATAATTTAAATTGTGACGTGAAAGGCACGCCTAAATGAAATAGAACTGTTCAAATCAAAGATAATCGAATTATGTAACTTTTCGTATAACGTATTAAAGAATAGACAAAAAGGGAAAAGTATTCGAAAAAGGGCAATGTTTACTTTGCGGCCCGTCCATCAGTCACGGACGGGCCGAAATCTTAAGAAGTAAACGTTTTCGCCTTTTCCCCGCCCCCTTTAGAAAAGAAAAACCGGCGAAAAGGCTCTATTCAGGTGGTATTTTCCAATGGAAAAACGTCAAAAGGAGAAAAAAGAAACGGATTATTCAAAAACAGGGCCGGCTCGACGTTCCTTTTTTCCACGAAAACCGGGGCGGTCCATTACCAAGATTGACCAGCCTAGGATTGTAGTTTTATCGTTTTATCGCTGACAGACAAAAACCGCACTAAAATGCAGCAGATCAGTGATCAAAATTATGCAATTTAGAGATTATGTGCTTATTGGAAAAGAAAAAAAGAGAAAAAACAAAATTTTCGAATGCGTTTAAAACAAAATGTCCTCATATCCGTTGGTTTTTTAACTATAAAATATATATATTATTTTTAAGTAAAAGCAGACTAATTTTGTATTATTATTATTATCATTATTAAATGAAAACTGTTATATCGAAAAAGCCGTCGGTTTAAATTATCAGAAGCATCGCCCTCCGGGTGTGGAGAAGCCGTGAATTAAGCCCAATTGTCCAGGAGCCGAATAGGGAAAACGAAAACAATTTCCGAACGGCCCGAGTGGGTAAAAAAAAACCGTAAAAATTGGTGAAAATCTATGGAACAATAACTATAATAAAGAGTAAAGGAGGCCCACCCACTAATTGGCCGTAGAAGTTGGGAAAAGAAGTCGAGAAGTAAAAAAAAATAATAATAAAAGATTACCGAGTAAAAGTAGTTTGACTTCTCTCGCTGCTCTCTCTCCATCGGCTCTGAGATCCTTGTCGATTTTCTTTGAGCGTTCGACGGCTTCCTTCTCGCCCGAAGAGCTGATCGCGCACCCCATCCCAGGAAGGAAATCAAACCAGGGTCAAAATAACGACTGTCGACCACCTGTTGAATGTTGCCGTCAACATCGGACCCAAGCGGCGGACTGAACACGACGAAACGATTCTCACCCGTCTCGCCGCCGATGAAATAAATCGATATTTCCGTTAGGAAAGGCAAATGGTGAATCGTCTCCCCTCCCCATTGGGGCGTCCGACAATTGTGCGGATGAGGACGCGAACGGCGAACGGACACCCGGCCCAACGCTCAACCTCTCATTTATTAACTTACATTTAAAAAATTTAAATACTTAATTTAAAAAATAAAATAAAAACAATCCGTTGGCTATTGGAGATTGAACAACGCTGGAATAATTTTTAACGGTTTTTTGATTTTGAATTTAATCATCCCAATCATTTCACCTATTTGGCTGAAATAAATTAAAATAAAGTGCATGCAGATCAAATTCGAGGTGAATAATACGGCTAAAGATGATTTAAAGCTTTCAATTCATCCCATCTTTTCTCTCAATTTCATCTGGTGTACTTCAAGGCTCTATTCTTGGACCTTACTCTTATCCGTGTTCCCAAATGATCTTACATTAGTTCTTAATTGCCTGGGGAAGTGCAGAAGGATCTGTGCCAAAAGTTGGGGATTAAACCCTAAATGACCCTAGGGCTCTAAACCTGTTTCAAAAGACAAATGTTGACATATGAGTGGACCAAGACTTAGTAGGCTATTAAGTGGCGCTCAAAGACAAGCTTGCCTCAGTGTCACTGAAGCATGAACACAATGCCAACTGCAGCCTTGGAGGTGTTGTTAATCCGCCCATCGTTCCATATTCTATTTCAAGAAGCCAGAGAACAGGCATATAAATTGACAACCGTCTGCAAGAAAATGTCATGTCGACGAAATACAGAATGGAAACTGAAGGAGGAAATACAGGTAGATGCTATACTAGGCATGCCACTACTACAAATTATAACCATCAAAAAGTACCAGGTACTGATATCAGAACGGAAAAAGTGGGCCAAAGGAATACTTCTAAAGTTCAAATTCCTACTGGTATACCGATAGCTCAAATAAGAGCACAGGAGCTGGAGTCTTCAGGATGAATCTGAAGACTGAACTGATTTTGAACTAAGTAAATATGCTATGGTTTTTCAGTCTGAAATTGAGTAATACAAAATAAAAAGTCCAGGAACACGTTCCCGGAAGATAGCCATCTTCTCTGACAGTCAGGCAGCACTTAAGGTCTTAGCCTCATGTGAGGTGAAGGCAAAAAGTGTATGGAAGCCCTGGCAGAAGTCAGTGACGCAAATGACCCTGGCTTGGGTCCTGGGCTTTCAGGACATAGAGGCAAAAAGACTGTCAACGCAGGATAAAATTAAATTATTCATATGATTTAGAAAAAAGCACTTTATACAGATCTAGTAAGTTCATTAATTGTCTTATCTATCTTATAGTATAAACTTAAAGACTTCCAAGGGTGTCACAAAGCAAAAATGGTACCCATGTAATAATGGTTTATAGTTTTTAATCATTTTAAATTTGAAGTTCCAAAAATGATAATCTGAAGGCTAACTTGTTGAAAGAGAAGGACTGAATCATGGTGGTCGGGTCTGGAGGTTGGTATCTGCTGGGCTTAGCCACCTTGGGGCCCAGACAACCACCACAAAACAGCAAGGAAACATATCCAAATTCATCTAAACAATAAAATATCTATATATTTGCCAGCTGTTTTTAAATGGTTCATTTTAACATCTTGATCTAATCTATAACCATTGAAGATGGCAAGAAGCGGAAATGCTTCTAACAGACCAAAACAGTCAGGATAGGAAGACATAAATGATCAAATGATAAAACTTCAGGTTCATACACCATAGAGCCCAAGAGGAAATCAATTGTTGGAAATTTTTAACGAATATATACAGTTGAGACGTTTTTGAGTGTAATCGAACCACACCAATAAATACATTCATTCTCAACATATGCTCGGGACACAGAACTATCATTACTATATCAAATAAAACAACTCCGTTTCTATCAAAAATCAGAACAGGGCACCACTGCCATGCTGAAGCACAATTCACATATCTGACATTTCTACACGCTCTCTATTTGGAGCCGGGGAATTCCACCTTTCAATTGAATGGGCCACATTGAACAACCTTTCTTTACATGCTAGGTATATATTTATTTTCTCTTAGATAACTACATGACAATATTTGTATAATATTTGTAACAATTTAAAAAAATTTGTGATCACAGTTTGAAAAATGAAATTTGCTCACATAAACAGGAGGTAAATAAATAATAATAAATAACTTCATGACTAACTATTTTATGAGGGGACAAAACATCTGGGAAAAAAACAGAAGGAAGTTCTGAATACACTGGCTATCAGTCTTTGATTGGTACTAGCTTAACTTGACAGGAGAGAGAGCACACATTACATCTACCATAGGGATTTATGTAATCTCTTTTTAGGAACAAGGGTTCCAATACCAGAAATCAAACTACTAGGGCTATTGGCACAAGCCTTCTTAAAGTTTATGGTGCATTTTTCAAAAAATCTTTTTATCGTGTCCAATCTGTACATGATGGAACACCAGCTTATTTATTTTCTCTTAGTTAACTACATAACAATATTTGCACCAAACTACCTTAATTTCTTCAGAAATGGCTCCCCCATAATGGACTCTAAAGCGTCAGTCCAGAAGATAAGAGATGACTATTTTTTTTAAATACATAGGTGTTGTGTTGTTAGGGATTAATTTGTAAATAAGCCCATTATAACAAACACAATCAAAGGCCTTATTGATACCCCATTCTATTTGAAGCATTCTTTTGGAGTCCATAAAAGAGCGAAAATAAAACAGTAAGGTTTAAATATCAATGTTTGCAAATATGTTTTGTAGAAAATACTTTTATTTACAAATAGATGAAAGTAAAATATTCACAAATTTTATCGACATGCTCAATTAAGGCATTAAATATTACATTTGGCAATTAGGTTCTAAATTTATTTACAATGTGTTTATGTTAGCACTTTATACTAACTAGGTTCAAAAAATACTGGAGCTAACTGCAAAACCTGCCTTTTATTTCTTCCCAATTTTATTATTTATTTTAATGATTATTACACTTAAAACCTCAGGTCTTTATACAGTTAATTTTTAATATGAAATAGAAAATAATCAATTGTAATAAAATTCACACATATAATTTTTAATTGTATGTGAAACAATCTAATTGATTTTTTTAAATTGTTCTTCAAAAGTATATTATGCATTTGCAAATATACATCAATGACTGTTTTGTTTATACAATAAAAATAAAAATTACCAAATATTTATAAAAATTAAATAAAATCAACAATGATCAAGAGAAGGACTTTTTCATGGTTGATATTTTGAAGATGTTAAGTGTAATTAGGAAGCTAAATGAAAACCATAATTGTACTTATCACTGCAAAATGCAATTAATTAAAATATCCACATAATAATTTGTTAAATTGTGCTATAATGTTAACTATCATTCAGTAATCTTTTATCTTATAGAAATTTTTAAAATAAATAAGAGACTACTTTAAGTATAAGACAATGTAAAAAAGAACATTTCTCTACATCCATTACAAAAATAAAATTACCTTCTGCTTTCCAGTCATAACAGTAATAAATTGCAACCATAAAAAAGTATATATATATATACAATTATTTTGTACAACTATATAAATATATTAACTATTTAGTTGACTCTTCTTTTTTTTATGCTTCTTCTTTTTTTCTATTAATTCATCATTCTTGATCAAACATTTTTGACAATACCAATCGCTTTCTGGAGCTTCCTGAATTCCGACACAAGTCCTATAAAAAATGGTGGTTAAGAATGCATAAGTGTATGATATGTCTCATTTACTCACCAGTGGAACCACATGTCACAAGAATCACATGCAATCATTGGGCTCCCATCATCAGGACCCCGGCAAGCAGGGCAGATCCAAACCTTGTAAACATCAACGTTGTCCTATAGTACGTGTAATTTTTATTACCAATTTATTACTTTTTACGTAATTAAAATTAATAGAAGTATTGAAATAATTCTAACCGGTTTTGGATCGGGTGCAAGTGGTTGAAATGATGGCTGAGGAGTGTTATGACTAGAAGGCGTATTTGTGACCTCATCTTCAGCATGACTTACAATACCTGAGTGTTCTAAAAATGAATAAATCACACATTTAAATATTATAGTTAATTTTTAAATATATTTATATGGGGACTGCAGTAGCCGAGTGGTTAACCTGTGCGGTCGAGGATTTCATACCCAACCTCACCACTGGCCTCTTTTTCATGCACCTCTTCCTCCCAAAAAATACTCATTACACATCTTATGATCTAATATGCAAGATCATAAGGCCATAAGAAATATAATAATGATTTTAGTTTTATTGTACTTTCTAATTTACATTTATATGAATAGTGTAAATTAGTTGAAATGCCCCAAGATTGATGACTCCCATCCCAAAGAAGATTCACCCATCAAGTGAGAGAGTCCCATGAATGATAAGATACATGGACCTTGAATTTAAGGCCACAATCTGTATCTAACATTGGGTGGAAAGTGTGCAGTCGTCTCCTTTTGCAACACAGCCTGAGATTCCACTGATGTGGGAATTGTCAAACTCAGAAATCTTCTGGATCATAATAAACAAGCTGTTCATAACTGCCCGATGAAATAGTAAACCAAACTCAGCACCATCTCTAATCAAATCACAACCCTATCAATTATCAAATACATTTTAGTGCACAGAAATGAGCTCTAAAAAAACTTGAACATTAATGAATGAGACTTGACAATTAATTCCTCTCACCACAAACCCTGAGGCTTAAAAAATGTTAGAAATGAAAAATGGTGTAGTATGTTGTTCAATCTTTATAAAAAGATAGTTCCTACTCACGGTTAGTTGTATACAACGATCCAGATTTCAAGCTTATAGCTCATGAACAGGTTGAAGAAATTTACAACCATTTCTCTCGACATGAATTGTAAAAGTGAACCTGCCGATCCTCCGCCAACAGGAGAATTCCAATGAGAAGCTGGTTTTTAATGTCGCTCAATTTTCAATGAAAAGCGGGAATTGTAACACAATTAAATATAACATTAATAAATACTGGAAGAAAATAATTATAAATTAGTGATTAATTTGTATGATTTAATTAATTAATAGTAATTGAAATAAAATAATACATTAACTTAGTAATATATTATTTTAATTAAATTTTTTATTAATTAATAAATAAAAACACAAATTAATCATTAAGGTATAATTATTTTCCTAGTATTTATGAACAAAATATTTAGTTTTGTATCTACATGCCATTCACTCAGTTAGGGTGGTGTACTTGATATTCCTCCATCACTTTCCACACATATAACTAACCTAATTGAGGGTCGATGGGGTATTCAATATTCTGATATCACCCTTCTCACACTACACATTCATGCTAATAAATTTTTTACTCTCAACAAATGCCAGGTTATCACTACTTACTATCAATACTATATACAATAAAACAACCCTGTTTCCTCCACAAATTGTGACAAGAGACCCAAACACTTCCGTGCAAAGCACAACGAGAGGGTCTACAGTAAATCCGATACATGAGAACTGTGCCGATCCGCCACTTAACACATTCGTTAGGGCACTGATTTCTACAGACTCTCCTGAGAATTTTTTTATTTTTTAAAAAATCGTAAAAAAAAATTCCCAAACTTCAAATCAAAAAACGGTCTTTGTAGTAACTTTGCCAAGGTCTGTAAAACTAAACTCCAACACCCTACAACAAGCTTTGTTTGCTAGAATTTGCTTTGTTGCTCATTTTCTATAATAGATGTGTAGTTCGGGAACTATATCTGTATATGGGGAAGGATTTAGTGCATTGTTCTAGAACGACAGCCACAAAGAATGTACTAAAGATATGTATATATAATGGAATAGTTTATAAATATGTTTTGTTTTTAATAACATCTCTTTTGTAGATGTATATAGAAAGGTCTACCTATCAAAAAAAATAAATAAATAATTCAATTCACTAGTTTCGTGGTCCGCTTGACAATATATTAAATTAATTAAGGTTTTCAGTTGAGATAAAAAAGTCAATGGCATGAGCGGAATATTTTTTAAATGTCGTGTAATCAATTTGATTCTCGGCAACAAATAAATTGAAAAATGGCAAAAAGGAGGGAAAACTCAAAAGGTGGGGTTGAGATGGGAAGTTGATGTCCGAGTGGATCGAGGTCACGATAGCTCAAGTGGTAGAGCAGCGGCGTATCAAGCCGAAGATCGTGGGTTTGAATTCTGCTCGTGCCATTAACTTTTTTATGTCAATTGAAAACCTTAATTAATTGTAGTAAATAAATAAATACAAAATGAGCATAAAAGTTAACATTTAATAGAAATGTTTCTTGATACTTACTTGATTTATTTGGCTTTTGCTTCACAACTGAGTTTTCTGGAGTATTCATTACAAGAGGATTATTCGGTTCATCCTTTTTAACAACAGGTTTGATAAAACTAAAAAAAAAAAAAATTGTTATTGGTTTTAATGTCTTAACAAGGTACTTGTAATAAGCAGTTTGAACCATGAAAAATTATGTATAATTGGCTTTTTATTTTATTTTTCAATAATATTAATAAAAAGCAAGAACAATGTTTGTTCATAAGAAGTGTCTTTGTGCGAGTATGTTTGAACGAGAAATCGTAATACAGGATAGAAAGGACATAAACCCTTTTTAAACCTCTTCTTTAATAAAAAAAATCACCTCAAAATTTGAGCATCAGCAGTTAGCAATTTTAATTTGCTTACATTTTTCTGTGAGAAGTTTCTGGTGGAGGTGTTTGAGCAGACGCAGACGAGCCTACAAGTTTAACTGTAATTTTTGGTAATGGAGCAGCACCGTCACCTTTATTTTCCTTTTGCTGAAATAAAAAAAACTTTAATGTCAAATTAATATAAAATAAATAAAAATAAATTGAATGTATAAAGTTTACATATTATTTAACTTAGCCTATATTTGGTAGATAATAATTTGGTTTTGATTAATTTAATTCTACAAATTAATGAAAATTAATATAGTGAATTTGTTTTGTCTTTAAAGTGATTAAATTCCATTAAGTTATAATGCAAAATTTTCAAAAATAACAAGAAACAGGTTTGATGAAAAAAATCAAGCTAAACGTCTTATGATTAGTTATTTACCTCTTTATCTTTCTTTTTCTCCTTTTTGTCTTTCTTCTCTTTCTTCTTTTCCTTTTTCTCCTTCTTTTCTTTTTTCTGTTTACTCTTTTCTTTGTTTTTATCCTTCTTTTCAAGCTTTGACTTTTTCCGTTCACTCTTATCTTTGGATTTATTTTTTTCCTTTTTATTCTTCTTCTTTTTCAATTTGTTTTTCAGTTTTTTTTCTTTTCCATGTGATTTCTTCTGTAAGTTTGAATAAATTTATTTAAAAATTTCAAATAAATAATTTCTAAAAGTAAGGCTCATCATCTCTCCCTGTATATACATATATTTTTAAACTAAGAATTTCTATGTAATAAAATTTTGACACAAATATAAGCCTTGAATAATGAATTTGACATATCATATATTTGTACAAATAAATATTTGATTGGATAATTTATGCTGTTTTTATGGTATGTACTATAAAGGAAGTTACAACAGATCTTTTAATTTTGTGTTTCAATGTTTCAAAATAATGTATTTACCTGTTTCTGTGGTGAAGGAGAAGTTGATAACGCCACTTTTGATGAACTGCTTGATGGTGCAGAAGGGGTGAGTGTTTTGTTATTTTCAACCGAAAAGGGAGTTTGTATACTAGTCAACGGTGCTGAATTTACCTTGGCTGTTGGCGAAGGTGTATTGGAGGACAGCGTGTTAGTTGAGGAAACTGTAGGCGCTGGGGGATTAACAGGAGTTATTGTAAGTGATGGTGGAAGATGAGGAATATCTTTTGTCAGTGTATTCGCAAATGGGGACATGGGGTTTTTAGGATACATTTGCATCGGCATTTGCGGTATAAGGGGATTATACGGGATTAACCCTGGCCCTGGTGGAAAATTGTAGAAATGGTACGGCATCAACATCGATTCGACATTCATATCGACATCCGGTGTTTTCACTTTATTGGGTAAATCATCATAGAAGTGTGTTGACTTTGGACTGCTCACGTATTTTTCTCTATCCTGCGTCTCTTTATGTTTGTCTTTCTTCTTCTTTTTGTGTTCTGATGTTTTAGGTATATCAGGTGTCCGAGGTGCTGTGACGTTAGACACAGTGACTTCAACGCTGTTATTTAGAAATGATGACGATGAAAGTAGTCCTTTTTTATTGGGTTCAGCGTCTAATGTGGCATTGGTATCAACAGTTTTGGGTTCAGCTTTTCTACTTTTTTGAGTAACAGCTTCAATGGTTTTATCTAGTGCTATTCTTCTGAACTCATGCATACTGTCTATATCAGTTTTATTCTCATCATGCTCTTCTTTGACTTTAGATATCTTTTTAAATATATTGAGCTTTTGCTTGTCTGGCTCAGATGGCAACTTTTCATCAAATGTATTGCTATCCGTATCTATTAAATCTTTGAAAGTAGGTGAAAATGACTGCTTTTCCCTTTTTGGACTTTTAGCTTTGTTGGTACGAGAACTTACCGGTGTAGACTGAAGGCTTGGTGACGACTGCTGTTTGATTTTCTTTTTATCATTCTTACTAGAAGTCGAACTTTGAACTTTAACAGCTCCTGCTTTCAAAGCCTTCATTTCTTTCACACTAGTAGATACCTTTTTAATTTTGGATTCATCTTCTTTTGGAGGGGAATAAGGCAAATTCTCCTCTTTACTTTTATTTTCCTTGTCTATCTTTTTACTGCTATCACATGATTTATGTTTCTTCTTCTTTTCAACCTTTGCTTCGGGAGGCGATACGCTAGTGACTTTTTGGGGTGATGAGGATGGTGGGTGAGATTCTGGAATGCTGGCCGGTTTTTCATTTTCATGTTCTATCGGAATGGAAATCGTTCTCGCTTCGGGTAGTTTGCCTTCTCGGGCAGGTGAGAGGAAGCCTGAGGTTGTCATCATTACACTACTGATTTCACGTAATGGCCTTATTTCATCATCCATCAAAACCGACCTAAGAACAAAAATAGTCAGATTAAAATGAATTGAAAGATTTTGCCTAAAAAACTTAAGTTATAGTACTTTAGAATGATCCAATTAATTTACCTTCTTTTGTTTGAACTTCCGTCAGAGGAAAGTGGGTCTCCTGGTCGTTTAAACACCCCAGTTTTTGGACTAGCAAGAGGAGAACTTGAATCCATAGGTTGTGCTTCATTCGCAAGTTGTGATTCTTTTGTATTGGAATTGGAATAATCCTCTATGTTAGCATCTGAAACATATAATATAAAATTACGGAGAAAAAAATCTTCAAAATCAACTAACTTCTTATTTAAATTGAGTCAAACTAACAGTAGTAAGTCATCAATAGTAAAATATTCAATTTAAATTATATTTAGTTAGTTTATATGGTTTATTATTANTTAAAAAACAAATAGAAATGCCTGCTTTTTACAAGCTTTACAAGTTTTGTATTAAAACTTCTTTTTTGTTCAATAAGACCAGTTACACTAATAAATTATATTTTACCTTCAAGCTGTGGGTGCATCGGTGGAAGGTGTTCATGGATATGAACAGGTCTAGTGACTACCTCTCTACTACCAGGTTTTAGCATGTTAAGATGTGATTCCCTGGGTATGGGATACACGGGGATTTCAGCGACACATGTTGTATCTATAAATTTAACGTATTCTTGAAGATCATTTATTGATATCTTGATATCGCTGAATGCCAACCCGAGGTGATCCAAGTTCGGTTCAGTTTGACCGTCTGAAATTGACAGGAAAAATATATAAAGTATTAAAGCAAACATTGAATTTGCAATTTTCTTACACAAAGCGGCATAGTTGTTGCTAAGCCGGGCGATCCCTTGTATGTATTGCTGAAGGAGGTCTGTTAAAATCTCAAGAGGAGTGGAGTGTATGGAATTCCATCCTATTACTTGGCAAATTTGGGCAATGCATTTTCTCAAAATATGCCTGCCAAATTCTTCAGACATTTTTAAAAAACAATTCCGTCAGGTCAAATAGAATTTTTTTTTCTGAAACAAATTTGAAAATTACATTAAACCTTGAATCATACATCAAACTTAAAAATAAATAAATAATTGAGTAATGAACAGTCAAGGAAATTGTTTACTTTTGTTTTTGAAGTATAAATTTGTATAATTGTTTGTCTGTTATTCTTACATATTATAATATTTACTTCTTCCAGATAAGTTTTTAATGATGAGTTTTTTTTTTGTTTACATAGGCGAATGCCACACACAAGAATGAATTGAAGGTGTGATTCACAATAGACAGCACTGAAAAGAGTGCCGTATTTCTTGAAATTAGGAAGCCAGAAAAAACATTGAATGAACAAAATGCAACCATCAGTTTGATGATAATAACAAAAAATAAACATTATAATAATTGGATGAAGAATGTGTCAATATTTATTAAACCGTCTCGGCTATAGAAAGCCACTAAAGATAGTGAAAAGACAAACCAAAACAGCGAGGATATACAAACCAAAATGATCAAAAATGGCCTATGTCAAGAAGAAATCACACAATATTAAAGATCGTATAATTCTCAGGAAGAATCTAGAGTTAGCTAATCCGGATGACAAAACTTAAGCTCTAGTGCTATCAATAAAGTTTACTGTCACATTTAGTTAAAGAGAACACGAACCAAAACAGCAACAATATACAGACCAAAATGATTGAAAAATAACTAACCTACATTCATTATATTTGCAAGTCCATTCCTCATTCCTAAAGCTCACAAACCTCCCAAATATAACTTCTTACAGACCCATTAATCTTCTTCCTACAATGTCCAAGATCCTCAAAAGACTTTAAATTGCTTAATACCCATCCTAGATACTCATAAAATCATTCCTTTTCACTAATTTGAACCTACAACCTTCATTATATTTTCCTATATTATACACCCCAAATACCATCATCATTAACGGATGTTACCACAATTTTGTCCTCTAACTCAAATCCTATCCAAAATCAACTAACCTCCAACATCCAAGAACACCTTGAGCTTTTTGAAGACTGGTGCAGAAGATGGAGGAAAGACAGATTGAAGAAAAATGTACTCAGTGTTCGAATTGAAAAAACAGTCTTGCCCTCCATTGTCATCAATAACCGATTTTCATTAAAATAAATACTTAGGACTATACCTAGAGAGCAAACTGACGTGACTGAATTCACACGCAAGGTTAAGACAACAACTAAATAGAAGACTTTGACAACTACAAAGACTTCTAGGAATCTGCTTTGATCATCAAAGTAAACTAACCTTATACAAAACTTTACTGCGACCACTTTGGATAGAGTGGAACTGTGGGGTTCTGCCAAGCCATCCAACATCTAGCACATCCAATCCTTTCAATCAAAAGTCCTCAGACAAATTCACTATTAACAACAACCTTAGTAGGGGCGTCAGTGGCCGCAACGGTTAGGCATTAACACGGAGCTCATCACGGTAAGTTTAAAGATCCTGGGTTCGAATCCAGCGGCCCCCTGCATTCGAACCCAACATACTTACAAATGGACTTTTTTTTCAAAAACACCGGCACCCCAAGGGTTGATATAACCTCTGCCGTTGTGAACCCTCGTAAAGGGAAAAAAAAAACAACTTTCCTTTTGACAACCAACTGATCAATAGAAATGATAAATGATGGAGTGAATGTGTGGTTCAATCTTTTTAAAAAGATAGTTCCTAATCACTGTACATGCGTACATACTTTAAAAAGATTAAACAACTGATCCAAAAGTTTCATACAACAACCATCCATCCTAATCCTGGCGCGAACGCTCTCTACACATTACCATCTCGAGAACCTGCTTTAATCAACGATGGCCTGAAGACCTCCTTTCCCCTTAATCCCACTTAAGGCACACTGAGTGCCAACATTGGCTGGTTTTACAAGGTATGTGTCATCTGGGTGAAGCACCGGCCTTAATGCTGTGACCGTGTTAAAAACAAAAGTTCTGCGATCAAATTTGTAATACATATGGGCTAAAAATAAAATAATTAAAAAAATGACAAGTTATGAAACTCAAGGAGATGGCATGGATTAGACATTGGTTCTAATCATAAGCAGGATCGACAAGTATGTCTACAATAATATTTTGAAATCTGAAGAAGAGCAACTGGGTTCTTCCATCGTCCAACATAACAGTCCCAAAACAGTTTTACTCGTCATGTCTATCTAATCTCAAACCCATGGGTAATCAGAAAATGAGAAAGTGTAGGAAGAAAACAAAAATGACCCAATGAATGAGAGCAAATTGTCACAATACTAACTGTACAAATAAAATTTTGCCCAGGTTAGCACAACTTTTGTTTACCTTATTTGACCGGTTGTTACAGTTTTCATTTATGAAAGTTTTTTAATGTTTTGAAGCTGTGTAATGAATAGTTATGTTGAGCACGAAAATTTATGTAGAACAAGAGAATGTGTTGAATTTGCAAGTGTTTGTACATGTATTTGTAGAAAGTCAAAACATGATAGTCCTGAATTTATCTGAGTGAGCCAATTTAAATATTAATCAGGATAAGTGTAGTCAGCGTGTTTTTTCTTCGGGATACGACCGGTGTTCAACTACGAGGGAATTTTATTTCTAAAGTTAGCATTTTTCTGCCGGGTCAACATCATACCGTCCCATTGTTTCCACCCAAATTCGAGCATGTGTCATAAAATTAAATTAATAAAACAGTACTGTCAAATTTTCAAGTTGAACGGCACGGGTGAATCTTGAAATTGTAAATAACTCACATTGTTTTGCGAATAGATTTCCAGGGCGTGTTGTAAACGTCGCGAGCCCTCTCTGGGGGCTTTTCGTCTCCCGCCGGCGAAAACGAAACATAACAGTTTGAGACTTGATTAACAGAAATTTGCCCGTAAGAATCACGCAGACGGTCGGTTGCGATAGAGAAGACGGTTCGATTGCGTTTATGGTGGTGGAAGGCAACTATGATTGTGATAGCGTGAACCGTGAGGAACCATGCAACCTTTTTCTATGCCCAACAGTGGACAACCATGCGAGGGGGGGGAGTCGCAAGAAAGCTTGCTGATGCCTGCACCATCGTCTTGGTTGAATAGGTTTCTTAATTTTTTCTATGGGAACGAAGCAAAATGTTTTTATTCAACTCCCCGCACACAAATCCAACAATTCCAAGCAAACCAATCAAAATATTAAATTATTTGTTCAACCTACCTTGGTAAAAGTGGAAAATAATTAATGTTTTATTACTATAATAAATACGATCCAATATAACTACTAAATACATATATAATTTATTATAGGTTGAATATACCTTAGAACACGTTTGAAAGAGGTACTTGGCAACGGTAACATGTGGCATAAATTAAAAATGTCTTTTGCACAATGTATCTTATTTGCTAGCACATCAAAAATTAGTAACTCGCATAAAAAGAAAAGATGGAATATCGAGAAGTTACAGGAGAGAGGGCAGTTGAAAGAATACCAAACTGTGAACCAACAAAGCCATAAAGTTTTGTTAGGTTTGGGAGGGTCAGAGAAGGATCTTAAAAATCCTTTCCAACACTGCAACCTATTAGAGCTAGATCTGTTGTGGAACACTTATAAATTATAGCCATAGCATAAAAAGTGCACTTTTTCCTATAAGTTGAAGCAATTTCCTTGGTGCCTCAGACGCATCTCTTTTGGTGTGAGAATTGTGAAAGTGTATCAAGCTGTAACCGGACTAATGCTTCACATTCACAAAGTGTGCCGATGTCTCTGGTCCCTCCTGACATGTTTCTGTCTCTGCTTTGTCCATCTTCTTTAGGTGACAAATAAGAGTGGCCAGTATAGAGACCTATAATTTTCCTCAAATCCTGCCTGCTGAGAAAAAGAGAGAGACAGAGAGAAGTTCCTTCACTTTCATTTTGAGAAATTTATAAATCTCTTAGTTGCCTCATACCTGACACTTATGTCTGTGATTGAGTGTTTCTTTCTCAAGACATTTTTCCAACTTAAGCACACACTCCGGTGCACATAGTTGTGGTTCATGACCTATGTGTGAGAAGGTCTTTTATGGCCAGTTCGTCAGCCCGTTCATTTCCTTTCATACTTTTATGTCCCGGAACCCTCTTTAGAATGATATTGCTGTGGTTTCCTAGAGCCGTTAGGCAATTTAGGCACTCCCAGACAAGTTGGAAGCTGAAGCGTACACATTTAGTGCCTTTCTAGCTGCCTGGCTATCTAATGGTATGTAAATCTGTGCACCTTTCATATTTTTCTTTATTAACTACTGTGCACAGAGGTGTAATTGCATGAATCTCAGCTTGGAAAAATTGTTTATATTAATCCAATGTGTATTGCAACACCTACTATCTGTACCACCTTCGATCCTTCTGTGTTCCACATTACAGCCCCTTCCTGATACTTGGGGCTTCCTTTCTTCCAAAGGTCTGTATTATCTATGAACCAGTTGAGTTTTTATCTCAGTTTATCAGGTACTGTTATAGCTATCTCAATCGGTGGAGTACTTGATATTCCTTATCACCCTTTTTCACTATTATATAACTAACCTAATTGAGGGTCAATCGGGTACTCAATATTCCACCATCGGCATATTCTACTTTGCATTCATGCCAATTAATACTAAAACAACCCTGTTTCCTCCAAGAATCGAAACAGGGAACTAGAAAACTTCCATGCTGAAGTCGACTTCTCATATTGGCATTCCTACATGCTCTCCTATTCTCTATGGAGCCAAAGAATTCCACCCTTCAATTATGTGGGACACATTGAACAACCTTTCTCTGCTTGCTGGATACTTTTGGGCTTTCCTCAAAAAAGGAATTGACATTGAAATAGAGCACTTTGTCCATAATATGAATTGAATTACATAAATGAAATTAGCACGGATAATCTCCCAAGCAAAGTTAACAAATTTACAAACAATTTTAATTAACAAATCTGAAAAATCCTCTCTTCTTTAACAATTTACACAATAAAAGTGAGAAATAAATATTCCGTAATTATCAAACAAAACTAATTCCAAATTTGTATGAATCTACCAAGAAAACATAAAATTATTTGGGATAGTTTCATGTAATTTCTGAATGGCATTATCCTTTTAATTTATACTTAATTAAACAATCTCAATTCCGTTCTCATTTTGAGGAGGAAATTTAAATAATAAAACAGTTATTGTTAAGTCTTGCTCTCGATTTAGCCCTTCCAACTGCACGTATATGATTGTCCAATATGGTTGTCCAGCGTTACATTTGCACCAAATAGCCATACTTTTTTTTTAATCATCAGCTAGATTGTAATTAATTAATCGATTTTAATCTTGATATTAGCCTTCATATTATAATAATATATAAAATATTATATTATACATTATAATTATATATAAAAGATCAGATATAAGGCAAATCCTCAAAACCAAATTTCAAAAGTAGATATTGCAGATATCACAAGATATTCAGTCTAAACTTTCTTTCCTGCTATTGTAAAATGAGAAAACCAAAATATTATAAAAGAAACAATATTATTATAACACTTTAAATGGTGAATTATTCATTCAACTATATTCATAGTTTTCCCCAATGTAAAACAAGTGTATAAGAAAAAACAAATGCATGAAAAACTAAAAAATTACATGTACAAAATTAATACATTAATTATGAATTAAATAGTAATTGTAGAAGTGAGGTTTTAAATTGTCCTTTGACTGGAGGAATCTTGATCTAATATCTTGATTAATACCCTTTCACCTAGTGGAAATTCTAAACATTCACTCACCTTAATAAATTCTTAAAATAGCCATATTTTAATCTTTCTCTTGTACAGACTTTATTCCCTAATCTGTGGTTCAGTTTGTAACAAGTTTTAGAACAGATATTCACAGTAAGTAAAGCAAATTGTTTAAACTGAGTTCAGAAATATTTTTTATGCCATCCATACTTTGGTTATTTAAAAAAAATTAATTAAAAAATAAAAGGTTGATAGTGTACTTTGTAAACTTACCTTGTGCTTTTGTACCGCCACTGTTTAAGAATAAAGAAAAATAGAATTATTCAATAGAAACAAGTTTGACTCACAATAAATTCATAGTATTCTTCAGTAACTTTTCAAAACATTAAAATCAAACATAAATAATCAATTCAGAATTCAATGTTTTTCACTACTCTAGCCAAAAGTTTATTTTAAGTAATAGAATAAAACATTATTTTTAGTTGGGTTTGATAGCATGTATCCAACTTACACCCAGGCATAGTTGCAGCCAATAGCATCTTATTCCGAACACCTCAACATTGTTGCCTACGTGAATAGAAATGCTACTAACTTACACCTTAATATTGTAACATACCTGAATAGCAAAGTTACTAACTTACACCTTAACTTCACTAATTTCGTTGTCTGCTTGACCAATTAATATATTACAATTACACCTTAACATTGTTACATACCTGAATAACAATGTTACTAACTTACACCTTAACATTGTTACATACCTGAATAGCAATGTTGCTAACTTACACCTTAACATTGTTACATACTTGAATAGCAATTTATTCTGAACACCTCAACATTGTTGCCTACCTGAATAGCAATGCTACCAACTTACACCTTAACATTGTTAAATACCTGAATAGCTATGTTACTAACTTACACCTTAACCTTGTTACATACCTGAATAGCAATGTTATTCCAAACACCTCAATATTGTTGCCTACCTGAATAGCAATGCTACTAACTTACACCTTAACATTGTTACATACCTGAATAGCAATGTTACTAACTTGCACTTTAACATTGGTACATACCTGAACAGCAATGTTACTAACTTACACTTTAACATTGGTACATACCTGAATAGCAATGTTACTAACTTACACTTTAACATTGTTACATACCTGAATAACAATGTTACTAACGTACACCTTAACATTGTTACATACCTGAATAGCAATGTTACTAACTTACATCTCAACATTGTTATCTACATTCAAATCGTAATTAACTTAAAAAAGCTTTCTCTAGATCAGATATAATAATTAATTTAATTCATGCACATGCATACATACTACATAGTACATGTAATATATAAATATTAAAAGGATGAAAAATAAATTACAGATATTAAATGTGTTATTCTCACTTCTATTAAACAAAAATGTAACCTAAATAATTATGTAAATGTAACCAAGAGAAAATCAGTTGCTTAGTGTAGGATTTTGCGGCTTTTCTTCTCCTGGTTGCAAGAATCTGTACCTACATAGACGTCCACAAAAACATGCATTGAGGTCTCCCCTTCTTCCTGGCAACATTTGCACAGTATTTGTTCTGTCAGTATCCCTATAAGGTATAGTATGGACCTATATGGTGTATGTGCCTTTTTAGGCGGATGCACTCTTTCCAAAATCCAACCAGGATCCTGGTTCTGTTGCGGTTACTAACCATTGGATGGCCCTTCTATGAATCTCATAGTGTGTTCATTCCTGGAGTATTGTTTCACTAGGTTTATGGCTTGAATGGGTCCTTTTTTGTGGCAGTATGCTATATTAGGGTTCAGGGCCTTGAAAATAAATATTGGATCCTTTTTTGGCCAAGATGTCCACTTTCTCATTGTCTCTATGCCCTGAATGCCCCGGACCCAAGCCAGGGTTTGTGCTATTGACTTTTGCCAGGGCTTCGATACACTTTTTGACTTTATGTCGCATGAGACTAAAACCTTAAGTGCTGCGTGACTGTCTGAGAAGATGGCTATCTTCTGGGAAGGTGTTCCGAGCGTTTTTATTTCTCTGGTGTACTGCTCAATTGCTATGATTCAGATTGAAAAACCGTAGCATATTTGCCTAGTTCAAAATCAGTTCAGTCTTCCGATTTATCGTGAAGATTCCAGCTCATGAAGTGTTCCTTTGGCCCATTCTTCCCGTTTTGATATTAGTACCTTTTGGTACTGTTTATACTTAAACCGTTTATACTTTATACTTTTTGGTAAAGTTATATTTTGAAGTAGTGGCATCATTTGGCACGCTTAGTATGACATTTGCCTGCATTTCCTATCTCAGATTCCATTGTTTGTTGACATAGCCTATCCTTGCAGATTGTTGTTCATTTGTGAGCCTGAGCTGCTGCACTGGGTTCTCTTTGGATTGAATCGATCTTGGATTAAAAAGATTAAATCTTGGATTGAGTGGTGGAAGGTAATAGGTCCTGCTCTGTTACTCTCAAAAAGATGTACAGTTCAAATTAAATCTTCTAAATATATACTGCAACATAAACTCATTTACAGTCAACATAACCAAAACAAAAATCGTCCTGTTCCATAAAGGTAGAAATACAAATAAAACTAATAAATTTTTCTATAATAACAAGGAAATAGAGAAGCCAGAGAAGCAGCTCATAGGCTCATAAATGGACAACTATAGGCAAGGATAGGCCATGTCAACGAACGTTCAATGGGAGTTAACTCATACAATTATCGTAATTTTTCCAAACTAAGATTTCTATCCAATTAATAATTTACAATTAAAGGGTCAACATAGGTAATTATTGAAGTGAAGGGTTGTAAAGGAATTCAAAATGTTCAATCCAGTTCTCAACCACCATAAATGAAGCCCCTTTAAAGTTTCTTACCAATTCACAGACATTTTTCTAATCCTTTATTCGCGAGCGGAAAAAAATTGGCGCCCCTTCCGTTGTTTTGCGTTAAATTGGAATTGAAAGTGTTTTGTTGTAGTAGTGTAATTTTTTATAGCAGAAGGGTTTCCTGACTCACTTTTAATGAGAAATGTTTATAAAGTAAGAAATGTTTATGCAATATTTTTAAATTTTTAATTCAAATTCAAACTTTAAACATGGGTTAAATGGGTATATTTTTTGAATGAATTATAAACGATCGTATTTGTGTAGTGCAATAAATTAAATAAATGAAGAAATTTTGGAGTAATGGGATAATATAATTTGTGATGTAATTAGAGAACGTTGTAGGTCTTGTGTGGAAAAAGAGGTAAATTTGTGTTCGTTGTGTTGGCAACGGGGTCGCCTCGGAATCTTTGTGGATGTCCGTCTGCTTTCCTCATTCCAAGTATTCTTGCCCCTCTCCTGCTGACGCGATCCGCCGTCCGTCGATTCTTCTCCTTTCACGAAGTCACGATTACTTTCGGCCGTGAGACCACATCAGACGGGGGCGCAGTGTTCCACATTCCGACGTGGAGAATGGTGACTGATTAATAAAAGCCCGTTTGGATACAACGCCTCTGTTTTCTTCGCCAAGGGACGTACAGTGTTTTTCAAGTTTGCCACCCAGGATACGAGGATGTTTCTTCCGCCTTGGCGTTTCAGTCTTTAATGATGAACTTTAAAATCCAACGGGACAGATTCTGTGACTCGGACTATTCGAGTGTTGCCCAAATCCGACTTTTCAAAAGTGCCTACCGTGATGTCTAAATTCCTTCTCTGAACCGGTGGCTTTTCGTCAGTCAAACAGTGCCGCACTGAGTGTTAACGCGCAGCTGAAGAAAGACAATTGTTTATTTCTCGGATAGGAAACAAACGAAGGACAACAAAAAGAGAATATCGAGTGATTTCAGGGAGGAGGGTCCTGAATGGAGAAATCAGTCGTTAACAGGCAAATCGGCGATTCGAAAATTTTTCAACACCTCGCCTCCCACGACTACCCCAAGTGACAATGATAGTTTCCAACGTCTTGGATGGATTCCTACATTTTCTTTTTACCCGGTTTCTCGGTCCCTTTTGAATGAGTCTCCAGTCGATTACTAACCGTAAGCATAACATTTTTTTAGATTATTTATTAATATTCTAAGTAGATGTAAGTATTGGAAAAAAACAAACATGCCAGTTATATTTGTAAACCACTTGTAGAACGTATAAGTACAACAAAGAACACAACAGAGAAAAAACAACGATATATTATATATAACAATCTATTGTTATATAATAGTATATATTAAAAAAAAACAATAATAAATGTTCCATTTTGTCTTTCTCTCTCTCGTTCACCCCTCGGGATCCGTCGGATACACCGTTTTCCCCCCCATTGAAAAGACAGTTCTTCACATTCTTGAACTCCATTGCCCACGTAATTTATATTAATTTTTTTATTGCACGTGAGGCACCTTTCGTCCCCATGATAAACAAAAGAGATATGGGGGACGAGAGGTCTGAAAGATCCATGACGATGATTTTCTTCAATCCGCCGTCGTTCCCTACCGCTTGGCCTGGAGTCCGCCATCTTCCTCTTCGGCTCCGACACCTCTCCTTACTCCATCAAACACGTACACTTTAATTTGTTCAATTACAAACTAATTTTATGTCATTTTTACTTCTGTTTTGTCCTTTTACTTTTTTCTTTTTATTTATCATGGTTTTTGACCCGCATCGATTTTTTTTGTTTAACTGTCCCACGCCTGTAATGTTACCGCATTCTCACAACACATCATCTGTCTGAAATGTTTCATTGTCCTCATTCTTGCGTCTCGAACCAAGTCTCGTTCTTCTGGCGTTCTTCGGATCAAATCTCACTGCAGACTGCGTTTTTTTTTTTTTTTTTTTTTTAAATCGGGCTCCGTCACTCCTGGAAATTGGCATTGAATAAGAATATTGCCAATGACCGCGCCGGTTTTGTTTTAATTTAAATAAAAAACAAAACAAAAATCTTTTCATACTTGTTTTCTTTTTCTTCGCGATCCGGATTCAAATCGCTCATCGCCTGCGGGCTTTCCCAAGTAGAAGATTCTTTTGATTTGTCCGCACCTGGAAATTCGACCTTTAGCTCTGAATGATTTAGGAATATCATTAAGATTAATTTTAATAATAAAAGGGCTCCTTTTAACTGTCCAAAAGTAAGAAATGGTAATGCTCTGGAATACAGGGTAATGTCAAAAAATATCTGATAATTAATAGTAATAATTAATCAAAAGGGGTTAACCATGTTCACCGTTAAACAGACTTGGGAATGTGCAGGAAAACAACGAAAAAATTGCAAACCTATAAATCACTTAACGCCGAACCTCTAGTTTATTTTTTATTACTCTTATTTTCATTTTTTTTTTAATGACCTATGAACATAGCATATTAGCCAAGGAAGACGTGTGTGTATTTGACGATGCATTGTATTAATGGGGGAAGGTATCCTGAACAAACTGGCCAGGGTTGACGGTGGGAATTGAACCCACGATCGCGGGGTTCACGAGCCGATAGTCTTATCACGCTAACCACTCGGATATCGCGGTCCCACAACCTCTTTAGTTAAGCATCTCAATTGCATTTTTTTACATGCGGGCTTTGTTTGGAGGGAGAAAAAAATCTTCTTTTCCCACGTTTAAAAATGACAATTGGAATGTGTCGTCAAAATTGTTCCAATTCTCCAGGTTTTTCCTAAGTCGATAGAGCCTTTCGATTTGACTGGACATGAAAATTCTGTAATTTAGAAAGTTTAGCGGTTTATTATTAATAATTGTCGAAAAGTGCCTTTGAACAAGATCACCATTTGAAGTTGACTATAAAATGTCTCAAGACGCAGAGTGGTGCCAAAAATCAAATAAGCAAAAAATAAATTTTTGTTTGTGAATCGTTCATTTCCCAAGTAGAAGAGCCTTTCGTTTGAACCACACCTGGAAATTAGATCTATTGCTCGAAAAGTTTAGAAGATTATTTATAATAATTTTAAAAAGTGTTTTAATAAAGTGCACCATTTAAGTTGATCGTAAAATGTCAGATACAGAATGGGTCCAAAAATCAATCAATCAATCATTCGTTCATCTCCGAAGTAGAAGAGCCTTTCGATTTGATCACACCTGGAAATTCGACCTTTATCTCAATAATGTTCAGGAATATAATTTAGATTTATAATAATAATAATAATACTAATATAAAAAGTAGAAATCCTTTTCCCAAGTTTCATTGAGTTTCCCCGTTGTAGGAGCGACTGATTTGTATCAACAATTTGTCAACGGGCTGAAAGATGGGGCCAATCGTTTTTGAATTCCTAAATTCTCTTGGCTATTGGTACGCCGAAGTAAGGATTAAGTTTAACCCTAGGGGTTAAATTGTCCAGAGAAGGGCTCTAGTTCTTCAGGGAGTCATACAATTATGGAGGCGGGGAGAAATTTTGAGAAAATTGTAAGCATGGCTCTCACTCGCATTGGTGCCAAATATCGCGCACAGTCTCTGCAGATCAATGTAGAAGAGCCTTTTAATTTGACCGCTCTTCGAAATTCGATCTGTAGCTCGACGAGGTTAGAGGTGTAGGATTAATAATTCACACATAAAAAGAAGCGTATAACAAAATTCACTGTTAAAATAGTCTTTAAAATAGAAGGCAAGATAGTTGATTGATAATAAGGTTTTTAAAAAAATCTTACCTCCCTTGGAATGTTTAGCTTTTGTTCACATTCCTTTCTGTGCGGTTTCAAACGAAGTCTGCAGATTTCTAATTACAAGACGGACCTGCAGACATAAATTCATTTGGCTATAACTGAAATTTCGAACTTTATATCAGAAAATTTAACAAATACTCGAAGATTATTAATAATAATTATTCGGAAATCGTGATATGCGGTCTGGTGTGACGTAGATTTCAGAAAAACGTTTTCTTTATCGTGCCAACGTTTCGATCTCTATTGAGATCATCTTCAGGGCTCAAAGTGTTTGTTTTCTGTGTAGATGTGTCATTATTGTGTGTCGTGTTGAGTGCCAGTGAGATATTGATGTTTTATCTCACTATTTTGATATTGATATAAATTCACTTTTTTCCACATCAGGTTAAATTTAAACAATGTTTGTAAATCTCAGGCCCTGAAGATGATCTCAATAAACATCGAAACGTTGGCACGATAAAGAAAATGTTTTTCTAAAACTACGTCACACCACACCGCATCTCACGATTTCCGAATAATCATAGATTAACGTTCACTAATCACCACACATTAATAATAATGAATATGGGATCTTTTAACAAATATTTATAATTATAACCAGTGCCAGAAATTCGACGACGTGACATTCAGAAACGTTAGGATTAGAAAAATTCTAAAAATAATTGACGAAAAAAAGAAGTCTTTCTACAAAATTTAGTATTAAAAAATTAGCCTTAGTGTTGGCATACTAGTGCTTAAAAAACTGAGCTTTTAAATTAGTCTTTTGCACAAGACACGCTAGAATTAATTTTTATCTTAATAGCTATCCCTCCACACATCGTTTACATGTATAGTTTTTAATTTTTTTTTTTAAATCGTTTCATATCTTTTTTCTCCCCTTATTTGGCGTCAAAGTGTACACAGTCTGCAGATTTTCTAAGCAGATGGAGTCTTTAGATTTAACCACGTCTTTCCATTAAATATTTTCCTATTGGCCGCTGGAAAATTCGCGCTATACATCAAAAGGTCTAACTTGTTGATTAATATTTAAAAAAAGCCGGTTTTTTGACCAAATTATTTACAATTAATATATTCTTGGCCGTTTCTTGCAAGACGGAGGTGTAAAAGAAAATAGATTATTTGACCAATGGCCATTGTTTTTTTTCTCTTAAAAGATTTTTTGTCCACAATTTCGTTTAAAGTGTAAAACAAAAACGTGGAAGGTGCTTCTCGATTAAGCCACACCTGCACATTCTGTCTCCCAGTTGGCTTGACCAAGCCCATACCTGAAGATTAATTTTTAAAATGTTCCCCTTTTAACTAAACCGTTAACGTAAATAAAGCCATTTCTTGAATGACCTGAAGGCTAATTTTTAAAAAGTTGTCCTTTTAACAAATTATATAATCATTAAAGTTAGCTTTAGCCATTTCTTGAACGACATGAGTTACAAAAACGAAAAAATGCCAATGACCAGTAGTTATATTTTTCTTAATAGCTTGTTTTCCTGGAGGTTCCTATTAAAAAAATGACCTTTTTGATTATACCACACGTGAGCATTCCTCTAAGGTTTAGCCTAGTCCACATCTGAAGATTAATTTTGAAAATAATGCCCTTTTAACGAAAAATATCATTAAAGTAAGTTTAGCCATTTTCGGAACGACATGAGTACCAAAAAGGTATTATGTATCTTTATTTAAAGAGCTTTTTGCAGCTGGTTTTAGATTGATGAAAAAATGACCTTTTTGGTAATACATATTCGCATTCGTCTCAAGTTTAGCTAGCCTAGTCCATACCTGAAGATTAATTACAAAATAGTGCCCTTTTAAGGGAATTTGTTTACAATTAGGCCCAAAAATTTCCTCGAAGACAGAAATAAAAAAATAAAAAATGAATTAAATCCAAACCTTTAATATTTTTTCAGTGACCATCAGCTTTTTTTATGTATAGTTTTTCTACCTCACGTTGTTTTCTTTTAGGTAAAAAGAAAAGTACAGTTTTTATCGTTAAGCATTTCATACTAAATAATTATTTTATTTATTTTAACTGGCACGCTTTTTGCTGTTTGAAAAGGCTTTTTATTTTTCGGCTCCTTCACGTTTTCAGTTAAAAGGACAAAGGTGTTTCGATGTTCATAAGCCGATTGATTCGCGAGATTAAAAAGTTCCAGACCGCCAACCGCAACAAATCATGTATTAGTCACTGGACAAAAGTGTCGGAACAATAGTTTTCGAATACGCACAATAATGCGTGACTCCAATTGAACATAGGTAGCCCAAGTTCTCTTCGTGAGGATGAAGTTGAACGTAATCCTCAGGCGATGACCATTCGTTTCAGATTTCATTCGAATCCACGAAAAATAGTTCGACAAATCCAATTGTAAAATGTACGTATTTTAACTACTTTA